CGGGGAACTTTGGGAAGGTTGGCTGTGAACTCGCTAAGATGACAAGAAACAACCTCATGTAGTGGCCAACATTATCTCATCCACAGGCCACCAGAAATGTGAATCCAGACACGCCAGGAATGCCACCCCTTTGTGTTTTACTCCACCTCCTGCTTGAGTGCAAATATGCTGAAGTCTGTCTAGATGATGGTTCTGTTGCATCATATTCCTGGGCCAATCCTGTACCTTTTCTTCTCTACTTGCTTTTATTAGGAACACTGTTCTTAGATGTTTGCAACTTACCTTCAGTGAAGCCTTTTCTAAGGATTCCACAGAATTATGGAAGTCTTTCTCCTGAGCAGTCTTTGGGTTGCTTCTGCCAGGTGTCTGCAAGACTCGCAGCCCAAACATGACAACTTCTCAGCTCCCAAGCTCCTGTACATAAGCAGAGTGTGGTTTAGATCCTCAGCGTGCCCCAGTCCAAGCCCAGGGTCTCAACATCTCAGGGTAAATTGTAATTTTCCTTATGTGGAGATCAGGCTGAGACTAGCTTAAGGTCACCATACTGGGTCCAGGAGTACATTTTTTTTTTTTTTTTAACACTTCAGTTTCTAGTGGGGAATCTCCTGCCCTGCTCTGGCCCAAAGTTAGGTCTGTTGTTTCTGTTCATTTGAGCACAACCTGTATTTACCCACTTCTTACTCCCCACTAAAAGGATAACAAAGTGGTTAAAAAAAAAAGAGGTGTGTGTGTGTTTGTGTGTGTGTGTGTGTGTGTGTTAAAACTACAAAAAGATGAGAGAATGGAAGAGGAGGTGACAGTGACACTAATATGAAAGCTGGATAATAGATGAGTGATAAGTGACAGAAAAGATGAGAAAAAAGCTGGAATTCATGATTGGAAGGTGAGAAAAAGCAAGCCAGATGGAACTGCAGCTGTTCAGGATCTGGAAGTTGAGGTATCAGGTATCTCAAATGAGGACTGGCTGAGTGTTGGCAGCCAGAAGCAGTTGTTAAGTCCCAGCCTCTCTGTCCCCTGCACTGCCAGTGAATCCTCTTCCCACACCTGCACAGGAGAAGATGGTGATGAATTTCCTGGAAAGACTGACCCTCTAGAACGCTTCTGGGATCAGGAACCCACCCAAAGCTGGCGGACCTGGGAAAGGAATACCAGGACAAAAAAGGATGGGTTAAGTGAATGTCTACAAAGGGAAGAGGAGACCTGTGGTTCCCTGCCCCAATTCCATTCTTAGGACATTGTCATCCAGTCTTATTGACTCATGCAGGTGTATGGAGACCCTCCCTGGGACCTCCAGCCATTCCAAGAGAAGGTCTTCCAGATCCTGCCATCTGTGGTGAGACTGGCCAAATCTCCCACAGCTAAGCTAGCAGCTAAGAAAGCCTGCCATGTACAGGGCACTCCAGCCAGCTCTTTTGTGCTCCACTCTCATGTGGGAATGAACTGAGATTACCAGAAAATTGAGCAAAGCAAGCACAATATCACTGATAAGAGACCATGCACGCACAAGGCAATCTACTAAGCAAGCAAACAAAAAGAATTTAGGAGGAAAAATAAAGAAACAGATTCAATCCAGAGAGTAGAATAAGAAGAAAACAATAAAACTGGCATTAATAACCTTAAAGAAATAAAACTTGGTAAAACTAAAAAATGTCATAGTGCCAAGTGGTAGCCACAATTTTGAGAAAGAACTCTCCCACCTTCCTGGTGAGAATGCAAATGAATGCAACCCCTTTCTAAAGCTATTTGGCAATACTTGGTACTGATGAAGATGCACTGACCCTATGGCCCATTCCATTTCAGTTATGGAAATACATTTATAGGGAGATTTTCCACAAGGAGATTATACAACGATATTTTACTGTGCTGTTTGTAAATATTAGAATAAAGGAAAGAAATAATTGTTAACAGTAGGGGAACAGATAAATAAGATATATTCATCAAGTGGAATACTATGCAGTTACTAAAAATGAATGATATTTATTGATGTGAATAGCTCAATGAAATAATGAAAAACACATCAAGTTGCAAAAGGTTATAATTATGCAAATTTTAATGCATATCTATCTATATAAGCGGTATTATTTGGGGATAATAATAGTAATAAGGGCTAACATATATAACTATCTTTGGAAAAGGGGCTTTTGTTTATCTCCATTTTACAACTAAGAAATCTAAGGCCTAGAAAGCCTAAATACTGTCCAAGCTCACACAGCTAGCATGTACGTAGTGAAAGGACAGAAATGTGTTTGGGAATATTAACAGACTGCAAAGGAAGGAAGCAAGATGCATGGGAACATGGGACTTTTTTTGGTAGCATTTTCTACCTTTTTAATAGAGATTTGAAACAATTATAGCCAATCTAGTATCTATTACGTTATTTATTAAACAGATGTTTTAGAGCAGTTTTAGGTTCTTAGCAAAACTGAGCAATAGGTACAGAGATTTCCCATATATCCCCAACCCCCACAGACTCCGCCCCCCTTCACGGTTATCAATTGGCCCCATCAGAATGGTACATTTGTAACAATGGATGAACGTACATTGACACATCATCACCACAGTTTACATTAGGGCTCACTCTTATTCTACATCCTGTGGGTTTGGATAAATACTTAATGGCATGTATCCACTGTTACAGTATCATACAGAGTTCACTGCACTAAAAATTCTTGTGCCCCAGCTAGTCATCTGTGTCTCCAACCTAGCCTCTGGCAACCACTGATCTTTTGACTGTCTCCAGAGGTTGTTGGGTTTTTTTGTTTGTTTGTTTGTTTAAGTTATAGATGGACACAGTATCTTTATTTTACTTATTTATTTATATGTGGTGCTGAGGATCGAACCCAGTGCTTCACGTGTGTGAGGCAAGTGCTCCACCACTGAGTCCAGCCCCAGCCCCTGTCTCCAGTGTTTTGCCTCTTTCGAAGGTCCTAGTTGGGAGGCTAAAGGATGTAGCATTTTCAAGTTGGCCTCTTTCATTTAGTAATATCCATTTGAGTTTCTTCCATGTCTTTTCATGTTATAATAGTTCATTTCTTTTTATTGCTCAGTAATAGTTCATTGTCCACATGTGTAATATTTAAAACTCATAAAAATTTTAATATCTCATAAATATTTCCTCATAAAACGAGGAAAATTGTAAGCTTGAAAACACTGCTAAATACCCAGGACCTCAGGGTTGACTTGGAACTATAGCTTCTGTGAATGGCTGTGTGTATTCTCCCCTGGGCTTCAGTAGAGTACCCTTTGTGTACTTTGCCAGGTAATGATAGTGTCTTCCCGCCTGTGGTGTTGGGCCTGGAGCTGGGGCCTGGAGCTGGAAGGGGACAACACTGTGACCTAGCAGAATGACAGTGCTCCCAACCAGAGTACTGCTAGAGAGAGAGAGACATCAAACACCCACTACCCCACACCCTCTGCCATTGGTTATTAGGTGCTTCCAGCAGGTCAGGCTTTTGGAAAGATTTTGGAATCTTAACTAAACATCGTCCTCATATGGCTTTCTAAAATAGGGCTTTTTGCTGGGAATCTCTGTATTATTTCTTTCATCATTGCTGTCTCTGTGACTCAGAATTTAACCACTTTTGCTTTTCTGTGTGACTCTTTGGTTGCACAAAATCAGAGTGAATCCCCTGTGATCTAGCATATTTAGGGGCAGGGCTAACATATAACTATCTTTGGAAAAGGGGCTTATTTGTTAACTTATTTAACAAATAAGTTAAATATTTGTCATTAATCATTGCCACGTGCTCCATATACACAGTGCTTTCAAAGAATTAATAAGAGTCGAATCTGGGAGTTTAGGGATGGAAGAATTTAATTTACCATATCTTCCCTATTTTAAAAATGAAGAAACTGAGGCCCAAAGAGTTAAATGACATGTACAAGACAACATAGCTAATTACTGACGGAGCTGAGTAGGAAATAGGGCTCCCTCTCCTCGCCTATGTTTATTTCACTGCAAAGTACAAAACAAAACAAAACAAAAAACACCACAACAAAACTATGGATCATTGTTTAATTTTCATGGTTTGTATTATAAAACTCCTTAAAATGGGCTTTCTGGGCATAATTCTTATAAACATTGAAATGCAGAATTTGTGATATATAGTCAGAACACTAGTTTTAAAGTTTTTTCATACCTTCTATTAAAGAGGAGTTCTTGAGATGAAAGTTTCTTGTTGGTGATGTTATAGGAGTGTTTACACACCTACCTCAGATATCTATGTGTATACAATATAGTTATCATTTGGACACTGGGTTTATTTCAATCAAAGGGAAAGTGTCTGGCCTGCTGCACTGGAGTGGATCAGAGGCACAGATCTCATTTTTAAGTTCACAGGCTTAACTCCCATTGCATTGTTGAGAACAGGAATCTGGTCATTTCATGAAGACTTTTGGGATAGTTCCATTTTATATTTTTGTAATAGTCTCAAACTGAAGAGGCTGAGTTCTAATTGGATAAGTACTAGAGTTAGTTTTATGTTTTTTCCTCCCTAGTAGTCTTGATCCACGTACTCCTTAGGTACCCATTTTTAATATCTTTCAATTTTTAAAAAATATTTTTTAGTTGTAGTTGGACACAATATCTTTATTTATTTATTTTTATGTGGTGCTGAGGATCCAACCCAGCTAGGTGAGCGCTCTATACCGCTGAGGCACAACTCCAGCCCCCCTCATTTTTAATATCTTTACTGGAAAGGTAAGTAGATGTTCTCTGCTGAACCTTTACTATACTAACATTCAATGATTTTCATTAATTGGGTTTAACCTTACAGATATGTTTCTGGTAAACAAATGCAGCATCCATCATGGCCAATGAAAGTAGAAAAACCTTACCTGAAATGGTTCAATGGAACCAAGTTTAGTAAACTTTTGATTCAGGTTGTCCAGAGAATATCTACTACAACAAACAAATTATTAATAAACTACCTGTAAAATATGATCATACATAAAAGAGAGATTGCCTTAATTTCACTTTTATATCTTGATTCATTTTGCAGTATGTGAACTCAAATCTCCCTCTATGAGTGATTTCCTGTGGGGGCTGGAGAACTCTGGCTGGTTAAGGCACATCAAGGCAATCATGGATGCAGGAATCTTCATTGCAAAGGTATGTGATTGCAGAGAAAACAAATTAAGGGGTAGACTAGCAACCATGCTGACATCAGAAAGGTGACCTGTCTCCTCTCCATGGGCTCCCCTGTACTTCACTCTGCTGTCCTGAGTAGATGGCTGGCTTTGCAGACCTCCATAAGGTTTGCCTTCTGAACATGTAATTTTGCAAGAGTACAGTGCTTAGTTGATATTTCAGTGGTCAAGTAGACTATTTCCAAAATATTCTCTCTTCCATTAGGCTTAGTTCTGGTGGAACAAAGAATTTTCTGCAGGACAGTACAACCAAATGTGAGTCATTTCAGTGATAGGGCCTTAAGGCTTCCATTGAATATATTATTTTTCTTAGACATGACATAAGCAGAAGTTATGTCCCTCAAACTGGCAGGTGGATTCCACTTTGCCATGGGAAGAATATTGTGGCAACTTTCACTGTTTTTGAATGTATTCTATTGTGTTGTTCAGTGTTTCTAAAAATAAGTTCCTCTTAGATTTACACTTAAGAGAATCATCTTTTCTGATGACATGGTCTGCTCCCCTTTATTAGATAATCATTTACTCAACAAATATTTATTTAGTGCCTGGTACTATTCTAGGTGCTATGGATGCAGTGCCGGCTAAGCCAGATCACGTCTCTCATCCCTCACAACTGACATTCTGATGTGGGAGACCAAAAGCAGGAGTAAAAAAATAAAAATAAATTTCAGGTAGTGATAGATGCTTATAATGATATCTTTACCAATTTACATTTCTTGCCAGGATACTTTCAGCTAGAAGTTATGTGTGTAGTTTCAATGGTGAATAGAAAAATCTTCCTTAGCAGATAATTCTGGTACAATTTTTAGCTTTGTTTTCACCTTCTTTCCCTAAAATATCCATTACTTCACTCTTACCCTTTTATCTTTAATTTTGTGCTTTTAAAATTTAAAATTTTGTGCCTTTTCCTTTTTGGAAAAGGTTGAGGCCAGTAGTTATTCCAGGATTTCAATAAGACTTCACATGGAAATGGGAGGGCAGGAGAGGGTGGAGGGTGGACAAGAGATGTCAGAAAGGTATGTTTGCACAGAAAAATACTTTTATTTCATATCTGTGCTAAATTTGAGGTGACTTGAGTGAGGGCTTCTGGATGTAATGGAAAGGGCAGGAAAAGCTTAGCTGCTAGCACTCACTGGGCCACTCCTTGGTTCTGCCCTAGGAAGGCAGGGCATAAATGCCAAATAAAAGAATGAACAGGTTTTGTTCTGTTTTGTCTATATCTTTCTCTAAGTATAGAAGTTAAACCTAGTTCTGATAAGAGATGTTTCCTTCTATCGTCATTCTGTGTGACTCTGCTGATTGGTATCTTCTAGGCAGTTTCAGAGGAAGGGGCAAGTGTGCTTGTCCACTGCTCTGATGGCTGGGACAGGACTGCTCAGGTGTGCTCGGTGGCCAGCCTCCTGCTGGATCCACACTACCGAACTCTGAAGGGCTTCATGGTGAGTGTGGCTGCTGGGCCTTCCCTGGAAAGGCAGTGCCTTGACCACAGTGGACTTCTTTTTAAGAAACTTTTGGCAACATTTTTTTCTCATCAGCATTATTTTTCTCTTAGTAGATCAGCAAGGTTAATTAAAGGAGAAAAAGTGAAGTAGGCTTGGAGTAAAGAGGTACATTTCTGGGATATTGAAACCACTTCAGATCAATGCTACTGAATATGAATGGGGACAAATATAAAAGACATTCAGTAGTGGGAAAAATAATAAGCTTTATAAAAATTTGCTCATAAATACTTCAAATTTGGGATAATGTGTGTAACAAAATACTTTTGGGGAAAAATATCAGGGAAAACATTTTCTATATTGTTCATGCTAATCGTCTGTAGAAGGAAAAACTTCTGTCACTTCCAGGTTTCTAAGTAATCCTCACAATTTAGATGAGAATATTCACTGTTTTTAGGGTTTTTGTGTTCTTTGATGCAATTATGAGTATATTCTCTCCTAGAGGTTGATCCTTTTTGGGTATACATCAAGATGTGATACATTGCTTCTGACTACAGTTGCCTGGGGTAGTGAAGTTTTGAATGAATAGTGAGATTTCCCTAAAATGACTGCAGGTGCTTTCTAGTGACTGGGCCATTAACTAGTTCCTTCCTCTTGAACAGTGATTGGATAGAGAATGCCATTCTGGGGATAGATGCTGAGAGGAGCCCTATTGGAATATCATTACTACTAATCTCTTTCCCAAGTGCTATCAGCTGACACCCTGGGGACTTGAGAGAAGAGGCCAGCTTCCTCCCTGAGCTTTCCCTTTCATTTTATCAGGATGTGCCTAAGAACTTGAATTATCTGTGACAGGATGATTTGAGGGTGACATTCCTGCTTTAGACCCCTCTCCTGGGCTGAGGTTAGGAGGGCTAGATTCCCTCGTTTACTTTTGGAAACTGGTTCCCAGTCATACCCTGCCATGAATCTTTCTTCCACATACCTTCCTTTTCTTCCACTGACTCTCTTCCTGATTGTGCCACATTAAATTTATAGCACAATTGAAATGCCCTTCTGAGTTAACAAGGACAGATTTCAACTGGTCCATACACTTTTTTTGGGGGAAACTAATGTTCATTTTAGAGCACTGGAGATATTAATAGGACTATTCCATATAGTTAACATTTTTTAAATCCAGACTACTTCAGTCTGTGAACTTATGGTAACCCTAATTCCAAAGCAGGGCTAAAGCTTCTAATATACTCATAAACCCATTTTAGAATTTTTCTCATGTATAGTAAAGAACATTGGAAAGCATTTCTAACTGTTTCTTATTGAAAGTTTGGTATTTTTAATTATTCAAAGAGGCAGTATCATGTATTGGTTAAAAGATGGGGTTTAGAGCAGAGAGACCTGTGGTGTAAAGTGGTGTCCTCTGCTTCCTATAGCAGGTGAATATTAAATCTCTCTCTGCTTCACTCTCTGTTGCTGTAAAATGACAGGTATAATAACACCTATCCCACAATGAGGTGAGGTGTCACATGGGAAGCACAGCAGTGTCCAGCAGGGAGGAAGCATTGAGTGGATGGTGTTATGGTGTTTTCTTTTTTTAACTTCAGTTCTCATTTATTTTTCCTGTGCATGACCTTCAATTTTGCCCTTCCCACATGCATTGGTGGATATTGTCATTTCTTACTTATTTTCTGGTTATCTGAGGATAGTGATTTCTGAACCAGATGTCTCTGAATCTTTCAGTATTGTTGGTTATGGTCTCTTATTTTCCTTCATTTGCTTCTCTCCATGATACTTATATTCTTTCTTGTGTAGGTATTAATAGAAAAGGACTGGATTTCCTTTGGCCATAAGTTTAATCACAGGTAAGAAATATTTTAAAATCTGTTGCTTTGAATGTTTAGGATAAAAACACTGTTTCCGAAGTTTTCAGTGCAGTGTCCAGGGGAAAAATAGCTTGATTTTGAAAGGATTTTTACTACTATTTGTGTATCCCATTTGGAAAGTTTAAATTATGTTGTACATTTTGCATCATAGTTTGAGAGGAAATTCTCAAACTCTAACTGCACTTGGTATTAGTTGGGCAGAACTCAGTAAAGTTAAATTGTTCCAGAAGAGACATATGACACTTGGTCATTCATTGACCCAGGAAGGATCAACTCTCCCTCCTTCCATGCACACTGGATTTACTGAATTATTCCATTTTGGAAGTGCTGACATTCACTTTAGGCTGCAAGTTGTGAGATGCCCGGGGAACAGTTTCCCTGCTTTTTCACAGTGGCAATCAGATTGGATTGTTCCTGAAGCATTCACATCACATCGAAGTTTCTCCCAGATATCTCTGGAGAGATCATGTGGGACAGTGGCCCAGGCATTGGAGCCAGACAGATGCAACTCCAAATGCAAGCTGTGGCATTTACTGTCTGACTTTGGGCATCTGTCCTCTCTGACCTTGGTTTCCCATATATGGGATGGGGAATGTTTTGGGTCTTCTTGGTACAGAATCATATCATCTTTAAATAGTGATAATTTGAGTTCTTCTTTTCCTATCTATATCCCCGTAATTTCTTTCGTCTGATTGCTCTGGCTAGAGTTTCTAGAACTATGTTAAATAGAAGTGGTGAAAGAAGATGTCTTGTTCCAGATTTTAGAAGGAATGCTTTCAATTTTTCTCCATTTAGAATGATGTTGGCCTGAGGCTTAGCATAGATAGCCTTTACAATGTTGAGGTATGTTCCTGATATCCCTAGTTTTACTAGCATTTTGAACATGAAGGGATACTGTATTTTGTCAAATGCTTTCTCTGCATCTATTGAGATGATCATATGATTTTTATCTTTGAGTCTATTAATGTGATGAGTTACATTTATTGATTTCCATATGTTGAACCAACCTTGCATCCCTGCGATGAACCCTACTTGATCATGGTGCATTATCTTTTTGATATATTTTTTATTGAATTTGCCAGAATTTTATTGAGAATTTTTACACCTGTATTCATCAGAGATATTGGTCTGAAGTTTTCTTTCTTTGATGTGTCTTGTCTGGTTTTGGAATCAGGGTGACATTGGCCTCATAGAATGTATTTGGAATTGTTCCCTCTTTTTCTATTTCATGAAATAGTTTGAAAAGTATTGGTGACAGTTCTTTAAAGGTCTTGTAGAACTTAGCTATGTATCCATCCAGTCCTGGGCTTTTCTTGGTTGGTAGGCTTCTGATGGTGTCCTTTATTTCCTTGCTTCAAATGGATCTGTTTAAATTGTGTATATCTAATCCTGATTTAGTTTGGGCATATTATATACCTCTAGAAATTTGTTGATGCCTTTGAAGACATTTCTGTACATCAGTGACAAATCCTCAGAAAGAGAAACTAGGAAAACCACTCTATTTACAAAAGTTTATTCCCAAGTATTTTTTTTAAGCTAAACGAAAGAGGTGAAAGACTTCTACAATGAAAACTATAGCACACCAAAGAAAGAAATTAAAGAAGACTTTAGAAGATGGAAAGATCTACCTTGTTCTTGGACAGGCAGAACTATATAGTCAAATGTGACTATATAGTCAAAATGACCATACTACCAAAGCACTGTACAGATTCAATGCAATCCCAATCAAAATCCCAATGTCATTCCTCATAGAAATAAAAAAAGCAATAATAAAATTCATCTGGAAAAATAAGAGACCCAGAATAGGCAAAGCAATCCTTAGCAAGAAGAGTGAAGCTGGTGGCATTTGCTGTTCCAGACCTATACTACAGAGCAATAGTAACAAAAACAGCATAGTATTGGTACCAAAATAGACCTATAGACCAATGGTAAGAATAGAGGATACAGAGACTAATCCATATAACTACAGTTTTATTAGGCAAAGGCATCAAAAACATACATCAGAGAAAAGATAGCCTCTTCAACAAATGGTGCTGGGAAAACTGGAAGTCCATATGTAACAATATGAAATTAAATCTCTATTTCTCACCATGCACAAAACTCAACTCAAAGTGGATCAAGGATCTAGGAATTAAACCAGAGACCTTGCACCTAATGGAAGAAAAAGTAGGCCCAAACCTCCATCATGTTGGACTAGGCCCCAACTTCCTTAATAAGACATCTATAGCACAAGAATTAAAAAACCAAGAGTCAATAAATGGGATGGATTCAAACTAAAAAGCTTCTTCTCAGCAAAAGAAACAATCAGTGAGGTAAATAAGAGAGTCTACAGCTTGGGAGCAAAGTTTTACCACTTGCACATCAGATACAGCACTAATCTCTAGGGTATATAAAGAACTCAAAAAGCTAAACATCCAAAAGACAAATAACCCAATCAATAAATGGCCAAGGAATTGAACAGACACTTCTCAGAAGAGGATATGCAATCAATCAACAAATATACGAAAAAATGTTCAACATCTCTAACAATTAGAGAAATGCAAATAAAAACTAAGATTTCACCTCACTCCAGTCGGAATGGCAGCTATTAAGAATACAAACAACAACAAGTGTTGGTGAGGATGTGGGAAAAGGGCACATTCATACATTGCTGGTGGGACTGCAAATTGGTGTAGCCAATCTGGAAAGCAGTATGGAGATTCCCCAAAACACTAGAACAACCATTTGACCCATTTGACCCAGCTATCCCACTCCACAGTTTATACCCAAAGGACTTAAAAACAGCACTGCAACGACACAGCCACATCAACGTTTATAGCAGCAGAATTCACAATACCTAAATTGTGGAACCAACCCAGATGCCCTTCAGTAGATGCATGGATAGGGAAACTTTGGTACATATACACAATGGAACATTACTCAGCATTAAATGAGAATAAAATCATGGAATTTGCAGTTAAATGGATGGAGCTGGAGAATATAATATGCTAAGTGAAGTAAGACAATCCCAAAAAACCAAAGGCAAATGTTTTCTTTGATATGAGGATGCTTACTCATAATGGCTATGGGGTGGCGGAGCATGGGAGGAATGAAGAACTTTAGTTAGGGCAAAGGGGAGGGAGGGGAATGGAGGGGAATGGAGGGGGTAAGGGGATAGGAATGATGGTGGAATGAGTTAGAAATCATTATCCTAAGTACATGTATGAAAACATGAATGTTGTGAAAATACTTTGTGTACAACCAGTGACTTGAAAAATTGTGCTCTATAGTGTAATATGAAATGAATTGCATTCTGCCATCATGTGTAACAAATTAGAATTAATAAATAATTTAATAAAGAAAAAAAGAGTAGAAGAAGAGGAGGCCTGGGTCCCACTTTGTCCTTTGAGAGCACACCTCCACTGACCTAAAGACCCCACTTCTTAAAGGCTTCACAACCTCTCAATAGAACCACCCTGAGGAGCAAGTCTTAACATACAGTTTGGGGGATATTAAAGAATACAAATGACGGCATTCTTCTTTCTCTATTGACTTACTGTGTTCTGCCCAGAACATAAACATATTACTTACACAGAACAAATACGTATTACCAGATGATATTTTATCTCAAGAACACAGAAGGTTTTAAAATTACATTATCTTCAAAAGACAAAGAGTTTTAATATTATATTAACCTGAAAATTGATAATCCATGTATAATTAGAGAAATGCTCAGTTAATCAAGAAAGCAAAAGAAAATGTCTAACTATTTGGGAAAATGTAAATTTCCAACAAATAACACAAAATTTATTGATTAGATTCTATTTGACTTTAGATTTTATTTAAAGTTGTTTATAGAAGAGCGGTATGTAGTGTACATTCACTTGTCATTTCAAAAATATTGCTTGCTATTTCAAGATAAAATATTTTATATTATCCTAAAAAAAGTTTTCTGTGGAATCTGTGGTCATATAAAAATGAGTGTTTTGTTTTTACTCTAGAAATGAGAATATCCTAGGAAACCATTATTTTTTTTCAAATTGTCTTTCTTCCTTATTTCTTCCCAGCAAACAATGCAAGAGTGAAAAACCCAGAAGTTGCTTAGAAATTGCTTCTAATTCTCCCATTAGCCATTAATAAAGTAGAAGATTTATTTCAAAAGTTTTGTTGTACTTTTAAAGTTTGAAATAAAAACTGCTAATTTTTCATGGAAAGTTTCCTTGAATTTAATCTCTGGGACTATTCTACTTTATTTTATTTGAGAGAGAGAGAGAATGAAATTTAATATTTATTTTTTAGTTTTCAGCGGATACAACATCTTTATTTGTATGTGGTGCTGAGGATCGAACCTGGGCTGCACACATGCCAGGCGAGCACGCTACCGCTTGAGTCACATCCCCAGCCCCAACTCTTCTACTTTAACACTTTCTTTTGTAACTATAACATGAACATGTTATCTTCTTTATACCACCATTACGAAGTTCTTGAAATTGGAATTTAAAGGTTAATTTTTCTACCTCTTATACTGAGTTTATAAGATTTTTTTAGGAACTAGTGTTGCCTTTATGATAGTTTATGAATTTATAGCCTTCTAATTAAAAAAACTTACCTTATAACATATCTTCTACTTTGTTTTATAGATATGGCAATCTAGATGGTGACCCAAAAGAAATCTCCCCAGTAATTGACCAGTTCATTGAGTGTGTCTGGCAATTAATGGAACAATTTCCCTGTGCCTTTGAGTTCAATGAGAGGTTTCTGATTCACATTCAACATCACATTTATTCTTGCCAGTTTGGAAACTTCCTATGCAACAGTCAAAAGGAGAGACGAGAACTCAAGTAAGTGTTTTGGAGTTTTAACTTTTATCTCAAGCTTTGGGCAACATAGAATTTTCAGGTGGACTTTTATAATTTTGGACACTATGTCATTTAGTGCACATATCTATACTGACAGATTCAAGTTCTTTTCTTGTTTCTGGCATCATTTCAAAGTGGCAAAAATGTAATCAACTGACAGAGATCTGTACAGTTGTACTTTTTCCCCCAGTTTCTGCCTGATATACCCAGACAGGTTGGGGGGTCTTGAAAATAATTCTGGAGTCAAAGAAAATAATTTTTGCAATTAAAAGTTAGATATCTTGAGTGGACATATGGTTAGAATAAAAACTGCAAATATAACAGGGAAAACAAATTTTAAACTCAAGGCACTGTTAATTTAGATTAAAAGTGCACTGCATCATCCAAGGGTAAAAGTAGATAAAATATGGACTTCCAAGTACATTATAAAGTCAGAAACTTAATAACAAGAAGGTGATTTAGGAAGTGCAAATAAGAGAATATTTTTGAGATTTTCATAGAATAAAATGATTTTAACTATGGTATATACATGATCAAATTTAATTTTAGAAATAAACAGTTTAAGTAAAATAGGCTTTATGCCATCTAAGTTATACAAAAATACTTTTTCAAGTGGATACTGGTTTATTTTGTCCAAGGAACTTTAAGTATTCCTGATGGGGGATGATTTAGAAGAAGCAGACCGCATCCTATAGGCTCACCTGTTTTCCCACATAATTTGTGGCTTGTTGCACCAGACTCTCAAGTTCTAATGGTATCTGCTTGGATTTTAATTCTGGCTTTTACATTCACTAGCCATAGGAACTACTTAATCTCTCCATTTCTTTAGTGTCTCTTCCAGAGAATGGATATATCTTACAGGAATTCAGTGAGGGTCAAAAGAGAGAAAACACGGGAAGCCCTTTGAAAACAGCCTGGCAAATAATAAATGTTCAATGAATATTTGGACAAAAAACTATATAAGCAGTTTTTTTTTTTTTTTTTAACTTAACAAGAATTAAATATCCTGTCCAGGCTAATGCAGATAGTAGGGGAGGAGTTGAGATTATTATAGTGCTATTCTACTATATCAAGAAACCACCAAAAAAGATTCTAAATTTCCCTTCTGTAGAACAAGGACTGTTGTTCAGATCACAGTGCTTAGTTCCTTTCCACCTGTTATATTATACATTTACTATTCTTAAGAACCAAGATCAGTCATTTTCGACTTTTTTTTTTTTTTTAAACAGTATTCAAGAAAGAACATACTCTTTATGGGCTCATCTGTTGAAGAATCGGGCTGACTACCTGAATCCTCTGTTTAGAGCGGATCACAGTCAGAACCAGGGATGCCTTCACCTCCCTGCAGCTCCATGCAATTCCATGTACAAGTATGTAAACCTTTAGCAATCTTCAAACTATGGAGTGAAACTGGATTCTGGCACTGTTTAACTTTCAGAGGCCAAAGTGTCTGAGACAGTGGGTTTCAAGGCTTTTTTGTATACACAATCCTTCAGAAGATGCTTGAATAACTGACTGTATTTTTGGCCGTGTCTCCTCCCTCTCATCCCTCTAAATGTGAAATTCTCTTCAGAAGTTGATATTTTATAATAACGGTATCTTAGAAATACACAGAAACTTATATTTCCATGTGAAAGTGAAAGGGAGGAGGGGAAGAGAGAGAGGAAGAGAAAAAAGAAAACCAAGTATCTTTTAGGCTAAATTAGAATGACACATTTATCAAATTATCACATGGTTTTATCTCTGCTGAATCAAGTCCCAGCTTATTTCTCTTGTGGAAATAGATTATTTTAAGATTTTATATATTGGGATGGGAGACCAAGCATGTTGTATGTTATCCTTTGGCTTCTTCTCTAGTCTTACGTGATGAAATGACTCAGAGGTCAGCCAAAAGGCCAGTGCACAGAATATGAGAAACCACATTCCTTTTCCCTACTCACTCCCAACAAATACTTACTGGGTCCCCCCCCGCAAAGATTTTATTCCTCAAGATGGTTTTATTCTCATTTATTTTAATATCATTATTTCCCCAGACTTTTAGAGCAGAATGAGCAGAATGTTAATTCTATTATACTTAAAAAAAAAAGCTTCAAGTTTAAAAGCCTCCTTTTGTAGCTGAAAGACTCTCTATATGTTCACTAATTTTGAAGTTCAAAACAGCGATTTTATTAAACCAAAACAAAAATGTGGTAACGTGTTACTTCAATCTATTATAAAAATATATTTATTATATGCCTCCTAATTCAGTATCATATATAAGTAGACACTTCATGAACTTAACTTTCTTCAAAAGTTTATGGGCTCCCCCCAAAAACCATGAACATGAAATTATTGCGAGCAGCTTTTTTGAACTTGTAATTTGTGTTTGGTTATTATTTAGACTGTGGAACTGTAATATTAAAAATAGCTTGTAAGATTTGAGAATGTGAGTTTTCAGATTGTGGTTTGGTGGTACTGTAAAGCTCTTTCCTCCTAGGTTTTGGAGTGGAATGTATAACCGTTTTGAAAAGGGGATGCAGCCCCGACAGTCCGTTACAGATTACCTTATGGCCGTGAAGGAGGAATCCCAGCAGCTGGAGGAAGAACTGGAGGCCCTAGAAGAAGTAAGACACACTTGCTATAATCTATATTGTGTGCTTGCAGGTACATGTGACTAAATCAGAGTCACTCCAAGTGAATTTGGGCTGACTAAATAAAGACACAGACACAGAAAGTACCTTTTTGGGGGGCTCAGTGACTGCTCATCAGCTACAGCTCCCACAACGGGGGCAAGGCAGGCAAGAAAGAGGAGGGGAGCACGCCTCGAACTGGGGTTTTATTAATGGAGGGAACTAATCCATGGAACACTCCATCCAAAAAAGGGCAAGGATTACAACAAGGGAAGGATTACAACAAACAGGTGAGTTTGGTACAACCATCTGGTAACACCCACTCCCTGAACTGCACCTTTCTTATCCAAGCAGAGGTAAAGTCCACCTGTATTGCAATGGGTGCAATACCAGTCCAGTACCTCTTTACTCAGGACTTAAGGTGTGTACATAGCTCCTGTACAGGGCGGCTCCTGACATGTGCTTATTTCTTTCAGAATGTGGCCCCATGAAAGTCTCTAAAAGCCCATATATAAAATTAGCAGTGACCATTTTTTATTTATAATCATTGGATGATACAGTCTCAGGTGAGCACCCAGATGACTGATGTCCATACGTAGGAATTTAATGCATATCACAAATGTGGCTCATGGTCATTTCCACAGTGTGCTGAACTATTTGGCTATTTACACACACACACACACACACACACACACATTTTGTTGTTGTTACTAGTAAATACTAGTACTAAAATTCTTTCTGGAGAAAGCATGAAAAAAGGTTGAAAAAGGAGTAAAATTAGACATTTTATTTGTAGTAAAAATCTACTACTTCACTTCTTTTTTCTTTTCTTTTTTTTTGCTACTGGGGATTGAGCCCAGTAGCACTCATCTACTGAGTCACATCCACAGCTCTTGTTATTTTTCGAGACAGGTTCTCACTAAGTTGCTTAGGACCTTGCTAAACTGCTGAAACTGTCTTTTGAACTTGCAATCATCCTGCCTCAGCCTTCTGAGTCACTAGGATTACAAGTGTGCACCACCGTACTTGTGTCCTGTGTCTTCACTTTTAAGAATTAAAAAATGACATTATGTTAGTATATAAAAGATAAAATAATTGAAATTGACTACTTTGGGCTTCTGTTACTTCCCCATTTGGGCCAGGGAGGTTATAATATACTTAAATGCTTTTCCTAATTGGATAACTTTGTTTCCAGTGATATTAGTTAAGTTTAGTTGATCACCAAACCCACTTGGATTTTTGCTTTGTTCTGCTTCAGTTGTTTTCTTAAAACACGTCACCATCATACTATTCATTTGTTCAGGAATTGGCAGTAAGTTCCTCTTGTTTGGGACCTGAATTTTGAATTGAGGTTCAATAATTTAAATATGATGAAAACTTTAAGATCATATGTAGTGAGGAAAAAGTATTAGGAGGGTTGGAAATTGTCAATAGTTAAGGTTCTTCTTTATCCTCATAGAGCAATAACGTGGCTAGAAGAGAACATAGCTTTTCCGATTGGTCAGTATCTAAAGAAAGTTCAGCAAAATATCACAAATTGAAATTGAATTCTGCTCCTTGGCCCAGTGGATACTCACCTGCAGGTCCCCACTGAGAATGATGCCCTGGGGAAATGGTGCTTTATGATTCAGGGTTCTCAACAATAGCGGTGGTCATTTAGAGGTAGATGGTGAGGCTGACTCCTGTTTTCATGATATTCTAGAAAATATCCCTTTTTGAGATATAAATATCATGGATGATCTTAAGTTGGGTTGCAAATTTAAGTGCTTAAGCTGGACAGGTAAAACAGATTCACAGGTTAAACCATTGGTTTGGGGAACTTTTAAGACCAGGTATAAATGGTACTCTAGAAATCTGCCAGAGTCCAAAAAAACATTGCTGTATCTGTATGATGAATTCTGTCTTATATCATCATGTTTTACCTTATTGAGAAGTAGTTTTTAAGCCTTGTTTGTGCAGCAAGATCACCACCTCCCAGGAAATCCTGATGCCTGGGCACTAAGCCTAGAAATTTCAGTATCTTTAGTGCCACAGGTGATGTGAATCGAATCAAAGAATAAATGAAGAGAGTGAAATGAGCCGCAGGTTGGAGTTTTAGAATTCTAGAGCCATGGTAGATCTTTTTTTTTTTCTTTGAGTCATCATTGGGCCAGTTAAATTTACACTTCCTAAAGACATACAAGCTTTATGAAAATCTTAGGATTTTATTAATCTTTTCCAGTATTCATTTTGTTGAACAATTGTTAAACAATTTTAAAAAATATTTATTTAGAATATTTTAAAGTGCCTTTATTTAAAAATTTTGATTATTATTTCCTTATATGACAGGAAAAGTTTCTTAGTCTGGCATTTGAAATTTTCCTATAATTCAGTCTAATCCAACTTTTCAACCTTATTCTCCACTGTTCCCTTTGCTAAAATTGAACATTTTCTGCTTCTTGCTCATTATTGACACCTCCTTACCTCTGTGTTTTTCTTCTCACTGTTCCTTCTAACAGGAATGCTACCAGAATGTCCAGATTTAATCCTTTCAGAGTTCTGTTAAAATGCACTTTTCTCCCTGAAGCTCACCTGCATGACACCACCCCCATCCCTCTTAAATTTGACTCTTCCAAATCCCTACATGAACACTGCCTCAGTTAAACACTTCAAGTTCTCCACAGCTGGATCTAGATTTATTTATGTTCCTCATATTGCCCAACACAGTGCTTTTTCACTAATACCTCATATGAGTGGTTTTGAAGGAATATGAGATACTCGATCTTATAATACCTCCCCTGCTGACATTACAGGATATAATCTGGTAAAATATATTTTGAATAGCCCAAATGTCCATAACCCGATGAATGGAGACACAAAATGTGGCATATTCATGTCATGGAATGTAATTCAAAATAAAAAGCAATAAAATCCCGATACATGCTATCATATGGATGCTCCTTGAGAACAGAAGCTAAGTGAAAGAAGCCAGATGCAAAAGGGCATATAGTGTATTATCCATTGATATGAAATATCCAAACTAGGCAAATTTGGAGATAGAAAGCTATCTAGCAGTTGCCACAGGATGTAGAGAAGGGGAATGGGTGTTGACTGCTAATGAGTATGATTGGTTGGAGTTTTTTTTTTTTGAGGTAGGGGAGGGTTGATGAAAATGATGTAGAATTAAGTAGGGATGGTTGTACAACCTTGTAAATTTACTAAAAGCCACTGAATTGCATACATTGAGGGTGAATTTTATAAGTGAATTATATCTCAATAAAATTAGATAAACAACTCATTCCTGACTTTAAAAAAAAACATTCTGAGTTCATGGGAACCAAACAGGCATAGAAAAGAGGGAGACTATTGATTAGCAGGTACGTTATCTGTGTTATACTGTTTCCATTTATAGAAAACCTGTCACGGCAGTTATTATCATCCTCACACTAGAGATGAAGAAAACAAGCCTCACAGAATTCATTTTGTTCATGGCCAAAAATCCTAGGTTTGAATCCTCATCCATTAGAGTCCCATATTCTTAACATTATACCCAGCTAGAAGGCAAACTAAAGGGATGCATGTATAAAAGGAGAAGGAAAATTTTTCCCTGAAATTGTTATTTCTTCTTCAGAGGCTGGAAAAAATTCAGAAGGTCCAGTTAAGTCACACTACAGTGAAGAGTAACAAGCAAAGTGAACCCAGCAAACACTCAGGGTTTTCTACCACAGACAACAGCACAGCCAACACTCCCCAGGATTACAGTGGGAATATGAAATCATTTCCATCCAGAAGCCCTTCACAGGGTGATGAAGATTCTGCTCTGATTCTAACCCAAGACAATCTGAAAAGCTCAGATCCAGACTTGTCAGTGAACAGTGATCAAGAGTCTGGGGTGGAGGATTTAAGTTGTCGGTCTCCAAGTGGTGGTGAGCGTGCACCAAGCGAAGACAGTGGTAAGGACCGGGATTCTGATGAAGCTGTGTTTCTCACTGCCTGAAGTTTCCCTTTGGAGTTCCAAAGTGAAAGACACACAAGAAACACTTCCAAAAAAAAGGGCATGGTGCAATTCTGAATAAAAATGATTTAGGAAATGGGACATGTCATCGAGAATTGTAAAATGTAGCTATGAAAATGGAAAAAAATGACCAACTCTTAGTGTATTTAGATGTTTAAGAACAGGAAGTAGCCACTTCTTTCATCAATATAAGGAAAATTATTCATCATTTTGAAACTCATTCTAGACTATGAAAATTGTATTCACTGCAAAACAATTATTCTATCATCACTTGAGGTTACCAGTATAAATCTTCCTTGTCATAGCATGCATCTCCTCACAAAGCCCCCTGACTCTCTTCCCTTAAACCTGTTATGATCTTGAATGTCTCTTATTTCACTTCCAGATGCACAGTTTGTGTTTTCTATCTTCTGACCCTATTACCATTATTTCTAAAAAATAGGGCACGTTGATGAGATATAAGGAGCTTTGAAATTGTTTAAACTTATCTTTCAGGTATAATAATCACTTTAACTTTTCCTTAGATAATATATTTTGAATTGTTAATAATAATTTTGTTGCCCTTTCTGGAATCTCTTCTGTTTCTCATCATTTAAAAAAATAATAAAACTTATAACTTACTTTTTGTCTAAGATGGGTCTAATACCTAATAAAATAGAAGCAACATTCACTCTATGGCTCTTACATATGAATTCAAATCATATTTGCTTTCTTAATAACAACCTTTCGTTACTGTTCCAGAGACTAGACTACAAAGATTGTTTGAGCCAACTATCAACCAGCTTGATTCCTGAAGTTTAACACTGTAAAAGTTAGTAGGGTAAAATATCAATAAGAGCAAATCCCAATTAAGAACTAGAGAATTTGGCTGTCATGCCTATTAAACAGGGGGAATGATTTACACCATCTATCATTCTAGAAATTATGTGACTGGTGAATCTAGTTTAATTAACATTAGTAACATCTCATGAACAATGACTGCTAAATATTCTGAAAATTTTTTGTTTTGGTAAAAGGCACATGTGAAACAGAACCATTCTCCTATCTTATTACTGAAACACAGGACTTTACTAGGTAACCTGAACTTTTGATTTGAAGGAACCTACTAGAGAAAAGTTATCATGTTTGAATAGAAAGAAAGAGTATTCACAATGTATGGCTTTGAAATATTAGTACATTCTAGAATGTAGAAGGATTAATTTTATCACTTATATAAACATTTTAAATATGTGAATTTTTATTGGAGAATATATTACATTTTGCTAAAATGGGAGCAAGGAAAAGAAAAAAGGCAAGTGATATTGCTGAAATCTCTAGTATGAAAGATTTGGGGCATAGTAATATACATAAATCAAATTATACAGTATAATTGTTAATTGTATGCATATTTAAAAATAGAAGTTATTTTAATATACTAAAGACAGTAATATAAAATGCTCTTTTAATGTTAAAATAAAGCAAGTACAATTGTTTTAGAATACAAAATCTGAGTATTTTCTGCTGAGTAGTTCCCAAATTAAATACAAGGAAAGGTCATTCATTTTCTATAATAAAAAAAACATATATAACAGAGAATACCCTGCTAAGAAATACTTAGGATATAGGGTCAATAGCTTTTACATTTTTATAATGTATATAACTCACTTCATACCATTCTTGTAGTTGTCTACTTCTAGAAACTTTGTTGTCTAAAACTGAGGATATGACTTTAATTTCTTCCAGTTGGTAGTGTAAGGCTAAAAAAAGCAATACTTTTTTTTTAAAAAAAGAAAAGAAACAGTATCTATACCAAAAAGGACTATGCATTTACTTGGGAAAGCAAATATTCTATTTGATACATTAAATTTTAATTTTATAATGTGACATCTTCCATCAGAGCCATAAACTTTTTAGTTCCCTCAATCTTTTTATAAAACATTATGTTCATTTAGTCTGTTTTATAAGTAACTAACACTGAACTCTATATAAAAGTTTATATTTATTGCTTATTAAACATTTATTGTGCTTTTAGAGAGCTTTTAAAGAGCACTCTCAATCCAACAAGACTAAATTCTCTTAACACTACATTTTCATTTTAAATCAAACTGCAATCAGGAAGTGTTTTATTATTTAGGGCAGTGGTTTAAAGTGAAAAGAATAAACCGATATGCAACTGACATGGGCCTGTTACTTCCTAATTAATAATAGTGCTCAAGTGATTTGTTATTCAGTGATATTAAGGTAAATTTGATATGAAATAGATAAGAATTTTGATCATGATTAAGCAAACCAATAATTGAACTATTTTATAGAATAAAGGAAGTTAAGGAAAACAAAGGAGAAATATTTATTCAAGAGTACATAAATCGGAGCTGTCTTTCAATATAATCATATATAGATTATGATTAAACCTTATTTGTCCAACAACCTCTATCCCAATAAAAATTCTCTAGTCTGTTTATTCCTAGAAATTTCTTTCAACTTTAAAATTGTTATCTTTAGTAGTATATATCTCATTGATTTAGAATTTCTTCTCTTTTGAGATATTAACCTTTAAAGCTTTATCCATAACAAACCTCTGTCCTAGATAGTCTATTGAAACTCCTAAGCTTTCCTCTACAATTTTGATTTCCATCTAGTCTTCTATTACATAGTAAAGTAAAATCAGAATATTTACTTTGGCATGTATGTCTATAATCATTTTTTACAAAGAAATATAGCCAAAACATTAGAAAAAAACATCATTTAAGTTTATTGCAGTCATGGAACCCAAATTCACACAGGCATAAAATCTTTCCATCCTAAAAGACATACATAACCTATATCTGAACTAAATTGCCAATTTATATAATACAGATAATTGTGATCAAACTTCTCTAATCTGGGTTGTTAAGAGGTTATCTAATAAACTAATTTAAAGGAAATTATGTATTTTTTTATACATGTATATATATTTGGTAGAACAGGAGGTAGATAAGCACTTCAATAACTAAACCATGTTTGAGTTATCTTTATATGGTATTTCCGTAATGCATTATTTTTAGTGTGAATGGTCTTTTAGAAGGTCTCTGGTCTGCTGACCTCTTGTTCTAGGATATATCTAGTTTCCAGGAAAGCTACCTGATTTGTTTGTAAAAGATTGGGAATGCAAAGTCTTCCAGTGACTGCAATAATTGTTGAGAATATTAATCTCTGATGGCCAATGCTATCACACTGGATATTGTCACAGACAATAAGGAAAGTTCTAAATGCCCAAAAGACTATCACAAATTTGACATACTTTTACTTCATTATTTCATCCACAAATCAGGAATAATTTTACCTTTTTCTGAGCATTCTGAATATTAAATAGCATGCCCTTCCTTAGCACAGTGCCGGCAAGTCAGACAATTAATAAAAGCCATTTTTTTGCATACAACATTGTACCTTTTTAGTCCATGTGAATATTTGTGTTTTACAAATATAGACTAAGTATTAAGTATTTTTCAATTCTAAGAAAATTAAGTCTTTCCCCTAAACCTCCATTGCTAAAGACATGTATAGAAGGAGAGAAGAATGAAGACAAAGATAATCTATATTGTATGCAAATGTTGAAATGATAATTATAGGGGGATGAAATTTAAGCAAAAATATGCACTAGGTTGTTTCGTGATTTAGATACTAGTTTATTGAGCCTCAGTTAGAGTTCAAAATTTTCTCCCTTTGAATCATTTAGGGCTACTTATGAAATATGTTCATTTGGTGACATGGCATAGAAGCAAATTACTGAACACAGTACAAATGAAGAGGAAATTCATTAAAAATTTGGATTGCTTAAAAACTAAATAGTACTTTTACTAGTTCCTATAAAACTTTTCTCAGGAAAATTGAATTCACATAAAAATGAGAAAAATTCATTGATTTTTTTTTTATGTCTAGATTATTTTTATTAACAAAAAGATTGTTTTAACATTAGGAATTTAGAAAGCATACCCATCTAACCACAAATCCATCAGATACTTATGTTTTAAGAATTAGCCTGAAAGTTTGTTTTGGATTGGTTTAAACGAAACCAGTCATTTTCTTAAGTAAAATATTTATTTAACTGGTCTTGCAACTTAAATGTATCTTTAGTTTTAAAAATAAAACAATATATGAAGAGCTGGTTTACTCTTTTTTGATTTATTGTAGGTAAAAGTTACTTACTTGAGATGGCACATTGGCAGGTCTGGTGTTTCCTGACACTATGAATATTTAAAAACAAATTGCCCTTGAAAAGTTTTATCATCCAGAAAGAAAGAAAATGGTGACTTTCCACAGTTGAAAATTTCTTAAAAAAAGGTTGAGAGGAAAATAATCTAAAAACCACACCACTCTTGATAAAGAACTGAGGCAGCTTTGAATTAAAACTACAAATTTAAATTAGTTTTATAAAGTACTGAAAAGTAGCTGAAATTACATGCATAGGCATTTAATCAATAATAAGAGGAATAGCAGCAGAACTTAAATATATGATAGTTTATCAACAATAAATAAACATTTTTAGTGCAAATAGTGCAGAAAATTTTCTCAAAGCAAAGATCACAGCAAGTATTTTGATCTATACAAAATCAGTCTCAGTTCTGTATACAATCTATATAGTATTATCTGTGAATTCAGCCCCCATGATGAAATGCCAATTTGCAAATCATAAATATAAAACAATGTGCTTAAGTTTTATGTCTCATTTTTCTCTTGGCAGTTCATGTTTTCGGGAAAATCTGGAAATAAAAGAAAAATTTAAAAATCTAAGATTTAATTTGAGGTGATAAATTTTCATCTTTTTATATTCTCTTCCAACTAAAATCTACCTATAACTTGATTATAAGGGAACAGTGATAAGGAAAAAAAATTAATATGTTCATTTAAATTAGCAATTACTCAGTATCTACTTTTTTCTCAAGCTGTGGGGAATGCAACTTGGTATCAAAAATCAGCCCTGCAGACAGGGAATTTACATTATGATTATAAAATAAGATACAAAACAGTTCCCCTCAGACTTGGCATAAATACTGTACAAGGAGGCAGATGTATTTGAACAGGAGATAAGTCACTTCCTTCCTTTGTATTATATATTATACATCTTACTATATAAATAAACATATAACCATTAGAAATCAGTTGGCTATTTCTTCAGTATGATATTGGCTTAAATAAAACATGAATCCCACTCCCTTTTTAAGGGAACTTACTGTTCTCCTTAGAGTCCACTCCTGTAGCCTGGTTTATTGGGCAGAGGACCACATGACACTAATCTACAGGCCAAGCTGATTAGGCCAGGATGGGTATCTCACACATCTCTTCCCTGGGAATCTGTGTTAGTGCTCCAGAGATTCTTGCTAGTCTTGAATGGCTGCTTGAACTGCAGATTTGATATAATCAGGATTTGGGAAGCAATAGATGAGGAGCAAATTGAAAGAGAAGAAAGTGCTAGGGATATAGCTTAGTGGTGGAGTGCATGCTAAGCATGCAAAGTCCATGGGTTTCATCCCAGCACCCTCCGAAAAACAAAAAATGAACAAATAACAACAGATGCAACAAGTGGCTCTAGCATGAAAGCAGGAAGGAGCTGTATTAGTTGAGTGGTTCCTAGTGTTTTCAAACTTGGGTGACTGAGCTGTAATTTCTTCACTTCGGCTCTATAGTGTATCCCTGCATTATCCAACTACATAGGTTTTTACTTAACCTTGTTAGGGTGAGATTTGCTTACTCAACCAAATCATTCCTAAAACAAAATTGATGGAGAATAAAAGGGAAAGAATGTTATCAGTTAAGAACACGAACAAAGACAGGGTGGTAGAAGGAAGAATATGACATACAAAACAACATAAGGAGAAAATGGCAAATTAAATTGGGTGAGTTGAAATATATGCCAGATTATAGAAACAGTTAAACCAGAGAGAAATCTGACATTATAGGTTCAATACAGATTCTGGAGCAAAGAAATTTTATGACAAAAGTGGTACTTTAGGAAAATCATCCTGTTAGTGCTGTATAGGAAGGAAAATTTTACTACCAAACTACATCCCATTTTTTTTAAAAATAATTTTGAGAGGGTCTCACTAAGTTGCTGAGACTGGCTTTGAACCTGTGATTTTTCTGCCTCAGACTCCTGAGTCACTAGATTACATTTTAAAGAAAGAAATGATATGACTATTTCATAATATGTCAACCAAGTAACATGGCATACTCTATACTCTAGTTGAGAGAAAGAAATCAACTCTTAACTTCTAATTCTACATGAGGAGCTATCTAGTGTTGAAAAAAACATTTCATCTAAGCCAATATCATACTGCAGAAATATCCAAAAGATTTCTAGTTCTACATGCTTAATTATATAATATATTTAATATGTAATACAAAACATTCTATATGTTACATAGCACAAAAGAACAGGCACTGTTAAGAACATTTACTTCTCCAAGAGCCTTGAGACTCCAACCTGAAATACAATTTACCTATAGTGGAGCATGAAATTGGCTGTGCATTGCTATCACCTGTTGAAGTTTCTCTTCCTTGGCTCTTCTACAGTGGCAAATCTAGAAGATAAATTATTGAAAATATCAGTTACATCTCCAAAAATGTGCCAATTATTTCTTACATTATGATGTAATTCTTTTATCCAACTGACACTATTTTAAGTTTTAAATGTTTAAAACAGTTAATTCCTCAGAATTCAAGAATTCAAAAACTATTTAATAGAAGATAGCTTTTACTGGCAAATTCCAGAATGTAATATAAACCCTGATCCTTTACATCAATTCTCTTAAATTTAAAATAACTGTGTCTTAAAAATATGGAGATAAGTCCTGCTGTTAATCATTCTGCCTCACCTGCCTTAACACAAAATATATATATATATATATATATATATATATATATATATATATGCAAATATACACACATATTGTACACGCACACACACACAAATCTCATGTCTTATAATTACCAATTAAAAACTTTAAAAATATGATGCTTAGAGAAACTGTGCAAACATTTAGGACCCTACTAAAGGACAAGAAACAATAATGCAGACTTTTTCAGGTTTTCTTTAAATACAATGGAAATATCAAATAAAAACTGTTTGAAAATGTTAATATTTTTAAAATTTGTTTGTTAATTTGTTTTTTAATTTCTATATATTATCTCATTAAACAACTTGTGCAAATGGTTGTAATTGAGGCGTACACTATAACTGTTAATTAGAACAAGGCTGAATTACCAGCTTCTATAGAATGGTACAAAACTATTATGTCTCAAACAGAATTGTTATTTGATTTACCTGCTTGTGTACTCAGAACAAGCAAGTTTGATAAGTGATAGTGAGAATGGGGTGTTGCTATCCTTCTCAATAGAAGCTCTTCAGATTCCTCTCATAGCACTCAAATCCCCAGCTCAGTAATGTGCTGAAGTTTTTTTACTCATGGGTGTAGTTAAGTAATTTGATGTTATGTTGTCACTCATCCTCAATGGAAGAGTATTACATACTGTTCTCTTTTCCATGAAGCTACTGAGAAAATCGTCTATTTCCGTTTTTCCCTCCAAGAAATCTTCAGCGATATTATCAGATTCTTCTTCAGCTTCGTGTGCAGCTACTTTCAATCTTGCCTGCAGGGCACTTGCACTACAGCTCTGGGGGAAAAATTTTAAAAAATTCCTTTGAGGGAAAGAAATGAGGTAGAGATATGAAGAAGAATTTACTAAATGCCTCATTTTGAGAAAATCTGCTCCTCTATCATGTCTCACCCAGGTCCTTAGCTTTTGGTTATAAAGTAGATACCTAACTAGAAAAACCAATCCACTGGCTGCAAATTATTAAATAAGAAACTAGGCAAATCATTGTACTTTCCTGGGGATTTTGGGATTAAATGCATAAGAGAAGCACCCTCTAATATGACCCCTCAAGAACCTCTGTCTCCTGATATTCCTGCTCTTGTTTAATCCTCTGTCCTAGAGTGTAGGCTAGACCTAGTGACTCACTTCTAAGTAATAAAATATGGCAAAGGTGATAGGATTAAATTTAACCAAAGAGGTAGAAGGCTTGTACAGAGAAAACCAACTGTTGGAAGAAATTAAAAGCATAAGTAAGTGGGAAGATATTCTATATTTATGGGTTGAAAGATTTAATATGATTAAGATAAAATACTAACCAAAGTGATCTACAGATAAAATGCAATTGCTCTTAAAATGTCATTGGCATTTTTTTTGAGAAACAGGCCCATCCTAAAATTTATATGGAATCTCATGAGATACAAATGACAAAAATAATTTTGAAGAACAAAGTTGGACAATTTATATTCTGATTTAAAAAGTTACTACAAAGTCACATTAATCAAAATAGTGTGGTATTGGCATAAAAACATATAAAGCAAAGGAATAGAAGAGAGAGCCAAGACATAAACCCTCATGTGTATGATCAAGTTATTTTGACAAGGGTGCCAAATCTATTCAATAGGAAAAGGACACTTTTTTCCAAACAAATGATGCTAGAAAAACTGGAAATCCAATGCAAAAGAATTAAGTTGGAATCTTATACAAAAATTAACTCAAAATATATCAAAGACCTAAATGTAGGAAGTATTTTTAATAGCCACCTTAGTATGTATGGAGTACCTCACATACAGGAATATCCAGTAATGCACCATTATTATCACCCTTGCTAAAACTGATTATTCAAATGCTTCCACTTATTCACTAAATATTTATTGAGTATCTGTCATGTGCTAAACATTAGAGCAAGTATTAGGTAACATAATAAAACAGGAGAGGTTTCACACTCTTGTACTCAATTGTGTAATCATGTAATTTACAAACGTTGAAGTATAAAGCAGGCATCATCTCCAGAGCATCTTGAGTGAATACATCTAGGGAAAAGCCTTAGAATCAAAGTATTTATTTTGCATGTGAATTTTTTTTTTTTTTTAAATTTTAAGTTTCTCAAGAATCGCTTCCAATAATTCCTCTATAAACTTTCAGGGACTAAAATAACAGTTAAAGCAGAATCTTTATTGGATATTTATATTTCTTCTCTTGTGAGTAACTTGTTTTTCCTTCACTTTTCATCAACCATTGCCATTAATATTTATTTGTCATTTGTGACAAATATTTGTTCTCTTTCTTATTTCACTTTTGATTTTATAATTTTTGAAATTAAAAAAACTTTAATTTATACATAGTGAAATTAATTAATTTTCCTTCATGCTTCTTCCTCTTTTATAATGCTCAGAAGTTTCTCTCACTGTAATCTTAATAAAACTCCTAGAGAGCTAGTTCACTGTGGTTTCCACAGAAAGTTTTTCTACAATATCTTTCTGCATCCTATATGATATAGTGACCTTACTCTCTATGAATGGATACTAAATGGACAACCAAGTATATCATTTATTGAATCCTCAGTTTTTTCCAATGAATCACTCACATATATGAGTCTATTTCTGAACTGTATGAAACTATTTTTCTACAAAACTACTACACCATTTTAAATCATGAGTTTTTACAGTGTATTTTGATAGTAGAAAAGGGCACTCTTTTCCATTATTATTTCATTTAAGCTTTTCCTACTTTTACCTGTTTAGTTTTTCAGATGAACTTTTAGATAAAATCCATTAAGATAAAAAAAAATACTTTTGGCAATTTGGTTGCAACTAATGTATATGTATGTATTTTAATGTTTTTAGTTGTAGGTGGACACAATACTTTTATATATTTATTCTGAGGATAAAACCCAGTGCCTCACATATGTGAAGCAAGAACTCCACCACTAAGCTACAACTCCAGACTATAAGTTTATAAATTATTTTAGGAAGAATGAAGTGTTTATAACATGGTAATATTCATTCCATGAATATTGTGTTGCTCTAAAAATAGCCTTAGAAAATAGCTCAAGAGTTCTTTCATGTCATTAAGTAAAGTTTACTAACTCACTTCATCAGGTTCACTTCTAAATATTTTGTATTTTTGTTGCTACTGTAAATGAGCTATTTTTTCTCTATTTCGTTTTGGAACCTTCCTAGGCTGGGGATATAGCTTTGGAGTACTAATTGTTGGAACATAAGATGAAAAATTTCTCTTCTCTCTAGGATTACTGATTGTTTATTTTTTGGTAAACAATTATTTCACCTCTTATTTTCTAATACACCTTTTATTTCCCTTGTCTGATTGCAGTGATCAGAACCTCCAAAGCAATATTATACAGCAGTTGACAATGGGGCATTATTCTCTTATTCCCAACATTAATGAGATTCTGGAAATGTTTAGTCACTAAATGTGATGTTTACAGTTGATTTCTAATTTTTTTTTATCAAATAAAAATTAATTTATATTCTTAGTTTACTAAGAGTTTGTGTAAGGAATGATGTTGACTATTATTAAAAGCTTCTTTCATATCTACTAAATTCCAATATGTATCTAAGAGTATTTCAGTTGATTTTCACACATTTTATGAGACACAAGATTGCTTAGGTTTGACTCTGAACCCTAAAACTTTCTATAAAATGGAAAACAGAAAAGTAACAATACCTGTCTTGTAGGATTTGGGGTAATAATGAGCCAATATATATAAATATCCGGGTGCAGTGCAAGACATACATTAATCACTCAATATTAGCTACTATTCTTATTTTTTTTCTAAATGATAATCCTATCATCTGAAATTCATTATAAATCATATTCTCCTTTTTTTGCTCTTATTTTATTTCTAATTTATGTGTTATTACATTGGCTTAATCTTTCAGAATTTGATTTTGAAGGAAATACAATACTAATAACAATGATGACTTATTGGTAGACAATATAGATTATTTCCTCCATTCCATTTTTAAAGATTTATTTTTTCACAGCTATAGGCTGAATTTTATAAAATGCTTTCATATATTATATTTTTCAATTTGATAACTTTTCATTTAAAATATTCATACATAAACTTATTTCATACATAAGCTTATTTCTGAGTCTGAAGTTAAAGATTTTTTTTATTGTTAAGTTTTATTACAACTATTACACTACTTTTATAACTTACCCAGAAGTTATTTGTGGGGCTTTTCATATTTTCCTGTTTTAGAACCAAACATATTCTTGTATGAACACAAATAATTTATTATAGTATCTAATAACAGAGCTGCTCATGTATTTTTAAAGGTATCAGGCTTTTATAGACAGACATCTAACAAAAGGTAGCTGACAGAAGGTGGCCTATGCACATCAGGATGAAAAGTTCTCAAAGGAAAGGAAAAGAACTAGACTCTTACCTCACTAAGTTCATGCTGCCTTTGCATCTTCTTTTCAAAAGTAGATTTCATTTGTGTAAGTAATTCATACTAAAAGAGAAAATAAAATTCTGTTTAATTCTATTTTTAAATTATATAAATTTCTTCAAAATGATCACTAACTCACCTTATCTAAAACAATCTGCCTTTTGGCTTCCAAGCTAGGTTCCAAAAGGAGATTTTTTCCTGTAAGATAAATTCTCTGGTTATTTCCAGATAAAGATCACACTTTTCTCCGGAAATAAGAAGTTAAATAAGGGAAGACATACTTGCTAATTCCTCGATACTTTTTACTAAGTCATCCTTGTCTGCAATAATTTGTTTCAATTGAGGCAAAGTCAGGAACTGTTCTAGTAATACTTCCTCTTGTTCATTCATATCTGTAAGTTGTGATAAACTAGAATACAAAAGAAATATGTTGTTAATAAAAATCAGTCATATAGTATTTCTCCATGATGATAAATATTCACAAATTTTCAGTTTTATTTGGTTGATAAGATTCTAAATAATTTTTATATGTACACATAAAAAGGCCAAATATAAGCTTAAGAGGAAAATAAAATGTTAACCATAGTGGAAAGTAGAAATGGGAGATTCTACAGGACAACCAACCAAGTTCTTAAAAAAATATATAATAGTATATGTATAAAATATGTATGTATTTATGTCTATATGTATGTGTGTATATGTAAATCTATTAGTGTATGTGTAGGTATAAGCACGTGAATATATATGTGTATGTATAAAGGTAGAGATAAAAGGTTCATTAAAGGATACTTAAGAAAGCTAGCATTTAAATATAATAGTTGAACATTTTTCTGAATCCTGATTCAAATAAACTAGCAACAAAAAATTTAATAAATAAAATGTTGAAGAAAGAAGATAACATTAAAGAATTATCATTAAGGAGCAATGAAAGAACTAAATAGGCCAAGATATATTATGAAATAATCAGATATAAATATATTCAGAAATAACTTTCAAAGAATGCAAAAAATATTTTTCATATGAAAAATATTTGTTACCTTAATAACTTATATTTCACTCTTAGCATCTAGAAAAATCCCTGGGTGTACACTACTCACTCAATAAATGCAACCTTTAATACCTAAAATTCTCCCCCTAAGATAATCACAATATAGGAGTAGTGAAGATTTTTAAAAATCTTTTTATTTAATATGAATATGAAATGATAATCTGGTTTATATTTATAAATAAAATATATCCCAACTTAAGTTTTTTACCTTAATTCTGAGAGTTCTGGAAATGTATCAGGAACATCTGGCATCTTATAACCAAAACCATTCTGGCTTATCTAAAGAAGAATTTAAAGGGTGTTACATTTCAGCCATCTTTTGATTATTCCCTTTTACATATATAGTAATTTTTAATCTACTATGTCCCATAACTATTCTCATGATCACATCTTCATCTTCTTATTTCACATGGCCCTTATGCTCCCCTTGTATTTTTCTTCCCCAGTATAAATTTGTACATACAAGCTTACTTCTTCTTTTTTTGTTGATTAGGGCCTTTGGTGAGAGCCTGTGTTAGCTTTCTTTCATGGGCAAATGTATGGGTATAAAATAAATATCTTAAGAGTATCTGTAACAGGTATGGGAAATATCAGTGGATTTCATGGATACAGATGAATGTATTTCTCTTAAATGAAAGACAGTAAGTATAGAAAAACTTAAGCTGTCAGTAGTCTGAATAGTTATGTATCTGGGTTACATAGAACAAGGTAGTTGCAGAGCACAGTATCCACTGTTTGAATATATATAAAATTTTTTATGCTTGAAGACCCTTGAAAAGTTCTCTTATACTTTTGTCAATACTCATTGCAGTTTGTTTATTAACACAATGATGAAAAGTTTGGAAAAACAAAGTCCACTTGGGTTTCTACTCTAAATGATTACAAACTTTGAAATTAGTAATTTTTAATATAATAAGGTTTTACAATGTTTAAGTATTACTATGGGTGATATTCATTAAGGGTTAAAAGGGAAAGTTTTCAAATCCCTTTGAATATTTTATGTACCAAGTATTGGTCTCTCCTTCTGTAACATCACATGTGGCAAGTAACCAGCCTCAAAACATAGTTTTTAAACCAATGGGATGCTTGAAGTCCTTAGTATGTTATAGAAGCTCCTCTTTAATCTGACACCTGATTTATCTACATGATCAGTCCTTGTGCCTTTCTCTACACCCAAAACGACAACCAGAGAGATCTATTATAGGCGGCTTTACAAAAATACCATCTGAGGTATACTACAAAGCCTTTGTCAAAGTTATTGCCTATCACAGAATGTCTTCTAGAGCCTCCTGTTATCCTGGCAAATTCATAACCACCTTTCAAAATCTGGCCTCAAAAGCTGAGCTTGGTGGTGTGTGCTTATAATCCCAGCTACTAAGGAGGCTTATCACAAGTCTGAGGCCAGTATAGGCTACCTAGCAAGATCCTGTCTAAAAACCAAGCATGAATGCATTCCTTCTTTTATCTGAATAATGTTTACTGAGCAAGTGCTATATATATCAGGCTTGGTTTCAGGCACTAGAGATAAAATGGTAAAAAACCAGAACTACAGTTTTTGTAAAGGCATCCCTACTAGTTCTACCTTGGTCTCTGGGAGCAATGGCCATTTTTTCAACTGTGTCTCTACCATAACACTAGCATGTCTTGAGAAGTTCCTTATTTGAAATTATTTGATCATTTGTTGCTTACCTCTTTGAGTTTGTTATTTAAGTTGGAAATGTTATTTAATCTTTTTATATTTTGTGCCTAATTTAGTAGCTGGCACATAATAAACAATAAATGTCTGCTGACTGAATGCATATTTCATGGGTACAAATTAGGCTACTAAAGACACCAACCGGAGCTGAAGTGTCCGTTGTGGGAACAGGTAATGGCAGACTTGAAAGGACACCAAATGAAGGAGCAGCAGGCTTGGCTGTGGTATAACTTGTTGTTGAAGAAGAAACAGTGTCAGCAACAGACAAAGAAGTGATATTCCTGTTAGCTTCTTGTGGAGGATATGGAGGAAGAAATGGAAAGCCCTGAGAAGCATAAGGAGGCATCCCGCCTGGGTTACTGTACAGGCTAAAGAGAAAAAGAGAATGAGAATTAGATCACATTTAGGTGTGAAGAATAGAAAATTATGACTAAATTGTTCTAAACAATAATCATTCATTTCTATTGCTAGAACTCTGTTTTTGGTAATACTTGTTATAATTATATGACTAATATAATTGTAATTGATAAACTATAAAGCCCCCAAAAAGAGAACTGCAGTTCTCTTTGAAAAAAAGATGACTACTTTAGAAAGCATACAATTCAAGTGGTTAGAGTAAAAGTTAATAGGCCATTTTTGAGTTTTAGCATTCCACTGATACCATTTTTTCACAGAGAGAATAGAGAACAACATTTAACCCAGGAACATTACTCAAGGGGATGCTTCTTAGTAACTTTCACTGTACTTGGAAAAATCTAACTGAAAGGTAAGACTGCTTTTCTAAAAAATTTGAAAGAAAAAGTAAATATGTACATAAGCTGCAAAAAATGTTAAATAATGGCACAGCATTACATACTTGGGATTTAATTAGAGAATAATGAAGTCAGTATTTTTTTTGTAAGATAAACCTAAACATTATACATTTAATATATTCTCCCTTAGAAAAGTTCACAAAGCATCAAATTATTAAAAAAAAAAAAAAGGGAATTCAGGCATCAAGGCAGACTGAGAATCAGGTAAATGCCAATATTTGAATTAATAGAGTAAGTTTATATTAGTTATATGTAAAAGGTAAAGGACTTACGGTATGTTTAAAACAATATTAACCACTAAAATGTTTCAGTTTGAACTGAAACATGTTTCAAATCACATCAAGCTTAAACATTTTCTGTTGGAATATTATTACTTCATTTCATAATATAAATTAACTTGAGTTGAAATTTTGTTGGAAGAAAACATTGTTACAGATTTTGAAGTGTTTACTAGTGAACCAAATTTTATATATAGAAAAAGGAAGGTAAAAAGATAACAGCCTTTCCATACAGCAAAATAAATTATAAAACTTTAATAATAAAAAAATTTATAGGTCAGTACTTATGAATAGATAGGAGATTAATGGAATAAATATAAAATGCAGAAAAAGACTAAACACATTTGGGAATTAGGATGTAATGAAGATCAAATTTCATGTAAGCGAAAAATAGAAAGGTCAGTAATTAGTGTTGGAATGTTTGGACAAAATTAAATTCAAGTCACATTCTAATATTTACAATATTATAAAAACTTAATGGATTAAGGATTAATTTTTTTAAAAAAGTCTTAAAAGATCAGAGTGTGGCTGTATGCAGTGGCACATGCCTGAAATCATAGAAGCTTGGGAGGCTGAGGCAGGAGGATTGAAAGTTCAAAGCCAGCCTCAGCAACTTAGGCCCTAAGCAACTAGTGAGTTCCTGTCTCAAAAAAAAATAAAAAAGGACCGAAGATGTGGCTAAGTGCTTCTAAATTCAATCCCTGGTACCAAAAAACAAAACAAAACAGAACACAATTGTAATCACAGTGATTTGGGAAACTGAGGCAGGAGGATAGCAAATTTGAGGCCAGCTACAGCAAATTAGTGAGACCTTTAGCAACTCAGTAAGACCCTGTCTTAAAATTAAAAAAGGATTTCTCTAATATAAAAATAATTCCTACAAATTGATAAAGGACTAACAATCCAATGGCAAAGTGAAGAATAAAAAAATACTGGTTACAGAAAAGAAAAGAGAAACATCTCTAAAGCATAGGAAAAATGTTCACTTTCACTGTTATAACATAGGTACAACTAAAATTATATTAACATATCATGTTCTGCCTAAATAGCTAAAGATTTATTTTGATAACATACTGTGTTGGAAAAGAACACAGGGAAATAAGCATTGTATATAGAAAAAACTGCTAAAACTGCTTTGGAGGGCAATTTTGCAGTGTTTGTCAAAAGTTACAACAGTATATATGACTTCTAGAATTTATTCAACAAATATACTCATGTTTGGGAAAAATATTTGCTGTGGCACTGAGGGCAACAAAGCAATGTGATGCTATGTTAGAGAAGGTTGAAAACAACAAACATCTCAATCAATAGGACTTTTGTTAATGAATTACAGTATATCCATAATACTTTGTGGATATAATACTTTAGAAATTAGAACAAATACTTTGTGGGCATAAAATAATAATTGGAAAGAGCCTTAGTTACTAATTTGAAAACACTCCAAATCATATTATTTAGTGAAAATAAAGCAAGGAAACAGGAAGCTATCATTTGGGTAAAAAGGATTGGGGAAGAGAACAAAATACTACATTCATATTTCCTTGTATATGCATAAAATGCCTTAGGAAACACAAACACATACACACACACACACACACACACAACTCTGGATGCCAAAGAGGAAAAAAAAAAAAACTTAAATTGCAAGAGAACAAGAAGTGGCAGACAGACTTTCCACTTTATACTCCCTAGACTTTTTGAATTTTAAGTTAAGGGAATAAATGGTCTATTCAAAAAACCCAGTGAATTTCATTTTGCTACACATGGATTTCCAGTTTTCCCAGCACCATTTGTTGAATAGGCTATCTTTTCTCTAATATATGTTTTTGGCGCCTTTGTCTATAGTAAAAGATAACTGTATTTATGTTGTTTGTCTCTGTGTCTTCTATTTTGTACCATTGGTCTACATGTCTATTTTTGTGCCAATACCATACTGTTTTTTGTACTACTGCTCTGTAGTATAGCTTAACGTCTGGTATTATAATGGTTCCTGCTTCATTCCTTCTTGCTAAGGACTGTTTTGGCTATTCTGGGTCTCTTAATTTTCCAAAAGAATTTCATGATTGCTTTTTCTAGTTCTGTGAAGAATGTCATTGGGATTTTAATAGTACCATATATTTGGTACTATGGCCACTTTGACAATTTTAATTCTGCCTATCCAAGAGCACAGGAGATCATTCCATTTTCTAAGGTCTTTTTCAATTTCTTTCTTTAGTATTCTGTAGTTTTCACTGTAGAGATAAATCAACTCAAAGTGGATGAAAGACTTAGGCACTAGAACAGAGATCTTGCGCCTAATAGAAGAAAAAGCAGGCCCAAATCTTCATCATGTCAGCTTACTGACTTCCTTAACAAGACTCTTAAAATGCAAGAAATAAAAATTCAGAATCAATAAATGGGATAAATTCAAATTAAAAAGCTTCTTCTCAGCAAAGGAAATAATCAATATCATGGGAGAAAATCTTTACCACATACACCTCAGATACAGCACTAATCTCCAGGATGTATAAAGAACTCAAAAACAAAACAAAAACCCATAACACCCCAAAACCAAATAACCCAGTCAATAAATGGGCTAAGGCTAAGGAACTGAACAGACACTTCACAAAAGAAATAGTCGATCAACAAACATGAAAAAATGTTCATCATTTTGGGAGGCTGACTAGCATGTGACTGTGTCTGTCTCCCCTTCTGATTGGTGGTGCGGCATTGTTGGTCAACCCAGATGATAGCCCCAATCTTTAGGGTACAAGCAACTGTGTCTTCGTGCATGGGTGAGCCTTCCTACATCTCCATGGGTGGAGCTATGCTCACCTGTTCCTTTGTAATATTACCCCTTTGCCCTGTTTGGGATAGAATGTTCCATGGAAACACTTTTTGTGTGTCTCCTTCTCTTACACTGCCCTTGGGTGTGGCCTACCCAGATGTCAGTCAACCTGCTGACAGCAGACATCATGAAGCTAGACAGCCCCTTGAAACCTGACCCCTTACCTTACCTCATTTGAATAGCTTCTCCTTAATAAAAGGGGTAAGCACATGCTCTCTCTCTTTCTGTGGACCCTTAAGGTCAGAAGAGCCATCACAGCACCCTCAAAGAAAAAGGTATTTCTGTCACTTGTGTGGTTATTTTGCGCAGCCCAATTAGCCCAGTTCCCTGGAGTGACCCCTGAGTGTTTTAGTTGCATGCAACCCAGCACATCATCTATAGCAATTAGAGAAATGCAAATCAAAACTACTCTGAGATTCTATCTCACTCCAGTCAGAATGGCAATTATCAAGAACACAAGCAATAATAAATGCTTAAAAGGATGTGGGGACAAAGGTACACTTACACATTGCTGGTCGGACTGCAAATTGGTACAAACACTTTGGAAAGCAGTATGGAGACTCCTCAGGAAACTTGGAATGGAAGCAGCAGCAATTTGACCCAGCTATGCCACTCCTCAGTTTATACCCAAAGGACTTAAAATTAGCATACTACAGTGACGCAGTCACATCAATGTTTATAACAGCTCAATTCACAATAAGTAAACTATTTGATACTATTGCTGTCCCTTTTAGACCAACTTAGATGCCCTTCAACAGATGAATAGATAAAGAAAATGTGGTACATATACACCATGAAATATTACTCAGCCTTAAAGAAAAATGAATTATGGCATTTGCAGGTAAATGGATGGAACTAGAAAACATCATGCTAAGTGAAATAAGCAAGTCCCCAAAACCCAAAGGCCAAATGTTTTCTCTGATAAACAGATGCTAATCCATAATGGAGGGTGGCGGGAGGGAAGAATGAAGGAACTCTGGGTTGTGAAGAGGGGAGGGAGAGGAGGGGAGGGGAAGGATGGTGGAATGAGACAGACATTATTACCCTCTATGCATGTATGATTACACTACTGGTATGACTGCACCATGTACAGCCAAAGGAATGACAAATTGTGCTCCATTTGTGTACAACTGTCAAAATGTATTTTACTGTCTGTCATATATAAGTAATTAGAACAAATTAAAAATTTTAAAAAGCTAAGTTAAAAAGTTTTCTAATATGATTGTTTATTTCAAAGGATAGCTCAGCTTTATTTTAAAACTTTTATCTAGGGTAAGTATATGATAACAAGTTATTTAACCAATATGACCAATATAGAGAATATTTACTATCATTGAATTAAGGTATCAATAATTCTGAATCAATCTGCTGTATTTTGAACTCAGTAGCAGATAGAAACCCATAAAATAATCTACAAAATACATTAAACTTGATGTGTAATAATGTGCATTGTATCACAGAACTTATTTTAAATGTAGCAAGTGAACACGTTGGCTTGTATTTTCAAAAAAGCTGAGTGATCTCATAATCAACCTTACCAATAAATAACACAGGAAATACAGTTTTTGAATATGGCATATCCAGATCTTTATCCAAAAATAAAGACTCAGGATTCTAGGATGTAGATAATAGGAAGCCAAAAGGTGCAGGAGAGAAGGCTGAGGTACCAAATGAACTGGATAACCTGATTAAGATTTGCAGGCAGTGTCAAAGATGCTATCTGACTTCTGAATAAGAAAAAGTTCTTGGAAATTAAGTAGAAGGACTCAGAAATATTAAAACAATGAAATATAAGAAAGAGGAAATACAATATAAACATACAGAATAAGAAAATTAGATACTTCTAAGAGTTGTAATATAAGTCTTAAAAGAAGTTTCATAAATAAAGGACTGGGGTGTATGTAGCTCAGTGGTAGAGCACTTGCCTAGCATGAGCAAGGCCCTGCATTTCATTCCCAGCACACTTAAAAAAAAAAAAAAAGGAAAACCAAATATAGACCTTTATTTGCAGAAGAGTAGTTTTTTCAGCCTGCTTCTTACCTATAGAAGTTTACAGATCCAAGGCTTCTTTTCATTTGATACCATCTCTGTCCCTTTTAGACCAAGATGATATAATTCTTTTAAAATATTTTTGGTTTTCTTATGAATCCATTTTTCATTTATTTCATCAGACAAAAGCAACACCCACAAGGCATGATAAGCTACTGAGCTTCTAGCAAGGCTGCTGAGAAACATTGTCATTGAGATTTTTAGAAGGACTTGAAGGACATTTTTTCTTACTGGGTAGTTCTCAGAGGCAGCACCTTGGTTCTTTCCGAGGTGTTAGCAAAGAATTTTCTATGATACTCTGGGTTTGAATTTTGCTTTTTTATAACATTTCTTATTTGAGAATCTAAGGAAAGCTGGGAATTGGGTACATATTTATTTTCAATTCAGGAAGTCTTTTCTTTAACTCCCTCCTGACTCATTTTACTACAGCCAGCTAGAAGTTGGGTGGCACTTTAACATTGCCTAGAAATTTCCTTAGCTGGATCATCTAATTCACTAGGTATATTTTCTGTTTTCCGTATTATCATAAACAACAGTGCTGACTAACCTTTCACTAATACAGAGCTTCCCTCCACTATTCCTGTTAACAAGTCTCTTTGTGGCCCTTCATTCATTCATACTTTCCTGTGACTATTTCCAGTTTTCACTTCTGCTTGGTCACAGAGCCCCTCCCATAATCTCCATATGTGTATGTGTCACAGCAGCATTTTACTTCCAGGTACCAAAATCCTTTCTGGTAACTAAGGCTGCATCACAGATTACCCACAAGGAGAACATTTATTCTGTTTACTAATCTGCAGTCTGGGCAGAATTCATTGGAGAAGCTCATGTATGCTGTACACATCATCAGCTTGCTCTCAACAGAAGCTTTACCTGGGAATACCTAGATGGGGCTTCTCTATGTAGCTTGGTCTTCCTTATAGTATGAAGGGTGAACTCCCCAAGACACAACTATGAGAAGGCATACTGCCTTCTTTTGACTTCGCTGCTAAAGTCATTCAGTGTCACATCCCCTACATTCTATTTGTTGAGGAAATCCCTAAGTCCTGGCCAGATTCAAGGGGAGGGAAATGGGCTTATCTTCTTGATGGGGAAGTGGTAAGTCTCTGAAAGAGCATGTGGGACCGGAAGTATCAATATGGCCATTTTTAGAAATTAGAATTTATGTTCCAGCCAAGGAAGTTTGGAAGATAAATTTTGAGACTTAAAAAAAGTCTGTAAATGTCTTTAACATTCTCACTACTTCATAGTTGGTAAGGTTCAAGTTCTACACTGGTGTGCTTTTTCACTTAGAATTTTGAAGGCACTGCTCTGTTGTCTATAAACCTCTTACTAGGGTATGTAGCTCAGTGGTAGAAGTAGGCAAGGACTCTACAACTGAGCTACATCTGTAGCCCAAGATCTAATATTTAAACAAAAAGGAAGAATGACTCAGAAAGCAAAACCAAGAATCCAGAATCATTCTGTGAAAAAAAATCATTCTCATGAAGTTAGGCTAAGTCCTAATTAAAGAAATGTGCCCAGATGGATTTCACAATTGCTATGGACCAGCAATAGGTTCCTATTTTCTCCTTTTTTGAGTGGAATGGTCTAAAATGGTTATCCTAGGCTTGTTCTACCATTATATGATGGGTATGTCAGGGGCAGCAACCTTGTCATTTTAATTCACTTGTCTTCAGAACAAGAATAATTATGGTACTGGAGACTGAACCCAGGTGTGTTCTACCACTGAACTACATATCCCTAACCTTTCTAAAAAAAAAAAATGTGGAATTATTTTAGCTTTATTGTTGATTGATATAATTTTTTTTTTGAGACAGAGTCTTGCTAAGTTGCTTAACTGTCCTCAAACATTCAATGCCCCTGCATCAGCCCCCCAATAGCTAAGAGTACAGACATGCATCACTATGCTTAGCAAGAACACCTCAATTCTCCTGGAGCCTGATTTAGATAATAAAATCCTGGACTCAAAATTAAGAGCCTAATTCTATAATAAAATGAACTCTGGAAGTTCTTGGGGGAGGAAATTAATGTATTAATTAATTAATGTATTTTTGACTGTAGGAAAGAGGTGAATTCTTGTGGCCAGGAGTGTGACAGATTGTAGTTTCCAAAATTGCTACCACAAGATTTCCAGTCCCACCTGCTCTTCTTGAACTTTGCTACTCCATTGACAGACACAGTCTATTTCCTCTTCCTTTTCAACCTGGATGGGATGTTAAAAAGCAGCAGAAATGATACTGAATGACACCCAGGACTACAATCAAAACATGATACAGCTTCTTCTTGGCTGTCTTGACTTCTTTCCTGGTATGCTCACTGTCAAAACCTAAACTGTCATGCTGTGTAATAGCCCAGGTCACATGAAGAGGCCACATATAGAGGTGTCAGCTGACAGCTTCCACTGAGGTTTCAGCCTCTGGCCAACATTAACTGCCAGACATCAGAATTAAGACAGCCTTCAGATGATCACTGAAGTGATCATTAGATCACTTCAAACCATGTGATCTAATGCAAAACTGGAAGTGAGCACCACTGATCCCTAACTAAATAAAAGATTCATCAAAAAAAGGCTCTCATTATTTTAACCACAAGTTCTAGGGTAATTTGTTATACATCCTAAATAAATAGAACAACATTCCTTTACTCAGGAAACTATAAAAAGACAGTAAACCAAGAAACTAGGAGGTAGCACAATACAAAACCCAGGAAGTAGGGAGTTTAATACAAGAAAGTGGCAGAGGAAAATCCTAAGACCAGTGAAGTTCCTGGATGACAGCTGTGGAATAATCATAGAGAAGAACTCAGAATGGAGGGGGAAAAAGTGCAACTTCATTTGCAAGTAAAAGGAAAAACAAAAACAAAAACAAAATCCCACAGAACCTAGAGATGACCTGACGATGTGAAAATGGGTTAAGAGATATTTTTCAGAACTGCTAAGAGCTCTGTGGAAATTTATGATGTGGAAAATTAAGATCTAAAAAAACAAAAGCAATAAAAAATGAGGTAACTACTAACTCCAGGAAAAAGTAAAAATGGTTACATACTTGGCTCATATATTTAAAGTCAAAGTAATGAAAACACCAAATATGGGTTAAAATCAGGATATAATTTATATCATGATATAATTTAAAATAATGATATAATAAGTTAAAATCATGATATAATTTCACTTGGAAGAAAAGGTGGAGAGAACTTTTTGAAAGATAGCTAAAATTATTATAATGTAGCTATCAATTATAATAACAGGTCAATAGAAATATCTAAAATGAAAGAATTGAGAGATAACATTATGTACATATTATTCAGAAAAAGGAAGGTAAATGTTAGAAAAATAGCAATATAGTTGCCACTGAAAAGTGTGGGTACATTTGAAGATGAGGATATGGAAATTAGAGGGTTATCTTTTAACATCATTTAATCTTTTAAACTGCATTTTGATTTCTTTGATAAGTACAAATATGTTTTTATTTGTTATAAATATACTTACTATGGAAATGCTGTCGAAGCAGGAGCTAAAACTGGAGGATTCTTCCAGAACTCATCCAACAGACTTTGAATAATTTTCCCAAGATCTGAATGCATTGTAAACTGAAAGTAACAATAATGCATGAGTATTAAAATCACTTTCAAAAAAAAAAAGATCATAAAGTCTCATTGACATAATGTCATTTTAAATCTTAATCCACTTTTGCAGGTCAAGTATTGCTAGAAAAACAAAGAGAATTGTGTCAAATCAACGTAATAGCAATCCACAACTCACAATATTTTCTTATAGAATCAATATTATAAGTATTCAGTAATTAGCAAATTAGATTGAAAGTCCATTCAATCAACAATAAAGCTAAAATAATTCCACATTTCACTATTTATGATAGTTTGAGAGTTCAAAGGTAAAGTTATAGTCCTTTAACGTCAACCATATCATATCCAAAAACTATAAGTCATAGTATTAACTAAACATGATATTATCTAGTATATAAGTTAAAATATTTTTTTGAAAATTACTGAATCCAAAGTGAAATTTTAAATGAATTTTAGGTTGCAAACATATTTCGTAGAAAAGTAATACACTTGTTATAGTACTCTGAAAAAAATTATACTACACACATACATTGCTTACTAATGGAGAAGTAACATACACTCCTTGTTTATCCATTAAGTGATGTCTTATTGGTGGATAAACACTGATCACTGGTTTTTCCTGAGGAAATTGTGGAGGAAGTAATCTGGTAAAAAAACAAAAACAAGAAATATTATATAGTCACAATCCTAAAATTTTAGTTAAAAGGAAATTAAATTTTTACACTTGTACAGATTCATCATTAAGTACTAAATGTTCTATGCCTGACACAGTAGAGCAGGCCCGTAATTACGGTGACCTGGGAGGCTGAGGTAATAGGATTACAAGTTCAAGGCCAGTATAGGCAAGTTTGAGGCCAGCCTGGTCAGCTTAGTGAGATCCGTCTCAAAGTAAAATAAATAAATAAATAAATAATAAAATGAGCTAGGGACATAGCTCAGAGGTAAAGTTTCCCTAGGTTCAATCCTTAGTACCTAACAAAAACAAACAAACAAAAAACAAATAAAAACCCCAACCATACCAAAAAACTCTATGATGGTTATTGAGTTAATTGAAATTTATGAACAATTACACTTTGGCTATATAGTAATTCAACACAGCTAAAACCTTAATGTGCAATATAGACACTTTGAATTATAGAAGTTTTTACATCATGGTGATTATTTTCAAATATGCCAAGCTATACAAAATCCCAGCTAAAAATTGGAATCAAATGAATCATACAAACCCTGTCTGATTATTTATTGGATCACAGTTTCTGGCCACACAGTATTCTTGGGGTTTTGTTTTTGCTTTTTTTTCCTTAAATTTTAAAATGCCACCAGCAATTATTCCAACATCTGTTCTATGTCTAAAGAGTAAGTAGATAAAATGCAAAGCACTAGAACTGAAATGCTGGATTTCGCCATGCCTTGATTCTACCTTATTTTCATCTAAATGTTCCAATTAACACCTCTCTCCCAACTTTGAGATCAATCACATGGTTGCAAGTAAAAAAAACCCAATAAGTTCTCCAACTATTTATTGTTAACAAATTCTCAAAGGTGAAAAGTTAACCTTTTGTAGCATTACAACATTAAAATTATCAGGTAAAGTCTTAAAAAATGAGTTTACTATTTTCCAAATCTCTAAAATTCAGAATATTTTTCCCTTTACACTGTCTCTCTATTCCTGTTGGCCCAGAAGGCTATTTGTTGACAGTATTGTCACAAAGAAAACTAGTTCCTTGTTGGATTCTCCTATTTATCTCTACGCAGACATTTGATGAGAAATAAAACTACTTCATTTATATAAAGATTTTAAAACTACTTTGGTAAAAGAGATAATAAATGGCCTTTCCAGCCCATCAATCTGGATTTGTATCCTGCTATGATATCTACTAACCATGTGTCTGTACTTTGTCCTAATCTGCATGATGGCTATAAGGATTCATAAAGCTCATGTGTCAAGTTAATGCAGTTTAATGCTTGGCAGAGTTAAATGTTCATGCTTGAATCCATTCATGTAACTATTCTTTAATAAGGCCTCCTCTGCATAGGCATTATGTTAAGCAATGAGGATACAAAGATGAATAAGAGATGTTTTTTTTTCTTTACCTTACCCAGATACTTCCTCAAACAACCAACCACCTAAATGCAATCTGAGGTAATAACTTATTTTTTTTAACAATGGAGACTAATAATTGCATTTAAGCCTAAACAGAAACTTCAGCAATCAGTCCAACTTCTTCTGTTTATGACTTCAGTACAAACCTCATAATTACATTTTTAACTTTTAATTCCACTCCCCCACCCTGCCGCAAAAATCAGCTGATCAAAACCAGCCCTGCATTTCTTGTAGAAATAGAGAAAGCAATCATGAAATTCATATGGAAAAATAAAAGACCCAGAATACCAAAAACAATGCTAAGCAGGAAGTGTGAATCAGGCGGTATAGCGATACCAGCCTTCAAACTATACTACAGAGCAATAGTAACAAAAACAGCATGGTACTGGTACCAAAACAGGCGGGTGGACCAATGGTACAGAATAGAGGACACAGAAACCAATCCACAAAACTACAACTATCTTATATTTGATAAAGGGGCTAAAAGCATGCAATGGAGGAAGGATAGCATCTTCAACAAATGGTGCTGGGAAAACTGGAAATCCATATGCAACAAAATGAAACTGAATCCCTTTCTCTCGCCATGCACAAAAGTGAATTCAAAATGGATCAAGGAGCTTGATATCAAATCAGAGACGCGCCGTCTGATAGAAGAAAAAGTTGGCTACGATCTACAGTCACTGGGGTCGGGCTCCAAATTCCTCAATAGGACACCCATAGCACAAAAGTTAATAACTAGAATCAACATATGGGACTTACTCAAACTAAAAAGTTTTTTCTCAGCAAAAGAAACAATAAGAGAGGTAAATAGGGAGCCTACACCCTGGGAACAAATCTTTACTCCTCACACTTCAGATAGAGCCCTAATATCCAGAGTATACAAAGAACTCAAAAAATTAGACAATAAGAGAACAAACAACCAAATCAACAAATGGGCCAAGGACCTGAACAGACACTTCTCAGAGGAGGACATACAGTCAATCAACAAGTACATGAAAAAATGCTCACCATCTCTAGCTGTCAGAGAAATGCAAATCAAAACCACCCTAAGATACCATCTCACTCCAGTAAGATTGGCAGCCATTATGAAGTCAAACAACAACAAGTGCTGGCGAGGATGTGGGGAAAAGGGTACACTTGTTCATTGCTGGTGGGACTGCAAATTGGTGCAGCCAATTTGGAAAGCAGTGTGGAGATTTCTTGGAAAGCTGGGAATGGAGCCACCATTTGACCCAGCTATTCCCCTTCTTGGTCTATTCCCTAAAGACCTAAAAAGAGCATGCTACAGGGACACTGCTACATCGATGTTCATAGCAGCACAGTTCACAATAGCAAGACTGTGGAACCAACCTAGATGCCCTTCAATAGACGAATGGATAAAAAAAATGTGGCATTTATACACAATGGAGTATTACTCTGCATTAAAAAATGACAAAATCATAGAATTTACAGGGAAATGGATGGCATTAGAGCAGATTATGCTAAGTGAAGCTAGCCAATCCCTAAAAAACAAATGCCAAATGTCTTCTTTGATATAAGGAGAGTAACTAAGAACAGAGTAGGGTCGAAGAGCATGAGAAGAAGATTAACATTAAACAGGGATGAGAGGTGGGAGGGAAAGGGAGAGAGAAGGGAAATTGCATGGTAATGGAAGGAGACCCTCAGGGTTATACAGTGGAGGGGTAGAGAGAGAGGAGGGGAGGGGAGGGGAGAGGTGGGGAGGGGGGAGGGTGGAGGATGGGAAAGGCAGCGGAGCACAACAGACACTAGTATGGCAATATGTAAATCAATGGATGTGTAACTGATGTGATTCTGCAATCTGTGTATGGGGTGAAGGTGGGAGTTCATAACCCACTTGAATCAAAGTGTGGAATATGATATGTCAAGAAATTTGTAATGTTTTGAACAACCCACAATAAAAAATTAAAAATATATTAAAAAAAAAAAAAACAGCCCTGACTGTTCTCAATGATGTAGTATATCTACTGTTGAAGTTTCAAACATTTTAACTTGTTTCTGATGTAAAGGTGAATCAATCTCTATAGGTTTTCCATGTGATTCCTTTGTCATTATCATTTTTCAGCCTATCTTTAGCTAAGACCAGTTCTACTAAAAATAATTATAGTACTAAGGGTTATTACCGTATCTTTTAATTGCATTTTCTCTTTTATACTTCCTTTTCTATGGCTACCTGTATCAGTGATGTCTTTTACAAATTATTCACTAAGTTGCACACTTTTTAAAAAAATTATAGTTACTTAAATTCACTCTAAACAGCTTATTTCTAATAGTAACTACGAGAGAATAAAAAGTTTAATTCCTATTACATGAAAAAATAAGATACAATTCTACTCACATGTTAATGTTAATAGTCAGATTGTTTACAGTGAATGGCAATCTGTATTCCACATCTTTCTGTATTTCAGCTATACTGTAAGAGAAAATTTGAGAAAAGAAAAACTTACCCAAAGTTATACAAAGCATTAAAGTTAAAGACAAATGTGAAATGCTAGAGCCTACTAAAACTATTTAAATTATAATCACAGAATCTGGATAGACAGCATAACTTGTATTTTGCAAGATAAATTATCACAAAAACCCTTATCAAATAAGTAGGCAATAATACTCTGAAATATCCAAGGGGCAGGTGGAGCATGCTAAGGAAAACAGGCAAGTAAAAACTCTTGTATTTTATGTTAAGATTGGTTCACTATCATTTAATTTACCATTAATAGAAGCAATTGCAACTGCTCTGGTTAATATAGGTCAGCAAGACATATGGGTTCTGACTGTAACTATCATTGTCCAGCTACAGATGGTAATGTTTTAAACTTAGAAATCTGAATGATTATATAATTTGGATAGAGGCTGAGGGCTGCTTTTCAAAAACAAATATTTCCCTTCTTCTAAGTAAGGGAAGACAGATTTTATTCTGGGTAGCAATGTTTTAGTCTTGCTTGTAACTAGTTGTTGCTAAATACTTAAGTCACAGCCTATGAAATATATAGGAAAGTTGTGGGGTAAATATCCAAGAAAATATCTTAAAGGGGAATGAAAGAATAAACAATTGTACGCACTCTATTTGCTCTTCCGTCCTTTTGCTTACTACCTGCCTGGATCATTAACTAGACTTCTCAAAAATTTTTTTTCTTTTAAAAGCATATATATATATATATATATATATACACACACACACACACACACACACACACATACACATACTAGTTTAGATGGACGGCAGCATACCTTCATTTTTATTTTACGTGGTGCTATAAGGATCAAACCTAATGTCTCACATGTGCACAAGCACGCTGCCACTGAGCTACAGCCCCAGCCCCAATAACTAGACTTCTAATAGCCATTTTGGACCATGAGTGACACTGAGAATGGGAGTCATATACGGGGACAGCTAAAAATAAAAGAAAGAAGTAGCTTGGGTCATTGATGACCATGAAATTTCCAGGCTCTTAATTTATTTTATGTAAGAGAAAAATAAACTTTTATTGTACTTAAGTCATCATTTTGGGGTTCTTTGTTATTGGCAGAATATAATTCCTTTTAACATTCTTTAATGCAGAATTTTATTTTGTTTTATTGTAAATTTTAGGCATACCTTTTTACAAATATCATGTGTAAATCAGATATGGAGACTTTGGGGTTCACTTGGAATACTAACCAATATTCACAATATTTCCACAGAGAAAAATACTAAGTAGTATCAATGACTTTAGGTTGTAGAGGGAACCTTAATATCAAACAGACAAGAAACTTCTTCAAGCATGAATATCTGGGAAAGGCCTAGCATATGCATAATGGTTTAATTTGTGTTCTTTTGGATGCTTTGAAATAAACTTCTAATTTTTCTCATTTTTTGACTATTATATTTTCTGGACTTTTCTTTTTTTTTCATAAAAACCCAGGCTCTAGAATATGTAAATCTTAGATGGCTTAAAATGTTAGAGAGTGTTGGGACAGAGCTATGGAAAAAAATCTTAGATGCAGATAATGCTTTCTCTTTGACATCCCATGGAATAGGATTATCATTGAGAAGAAAGACCTAAAAAAAGACTCAAGCAAGTACTCAACATCAGGATTTATATAGTTTTTATTAAGTTTTTCTTTGGGGATTAGGTTTAGACTGACTGCTCTTTCAGAGGTATGAACCCTGCATAATCAAAATAATGGCCTAGTTTTTAAAAATTCTGTTATATTAGCTTACAGCCCTAAAGTTTCATTGCTCTAGGAAATACTGGTCATAAAAGATTCCACCATTCAAAGTCAAGAAAAGCATCTAAGTGATTAAGAGCGTGACTCACCTTCTCCTTTTAAGGTCAGGTTCAGATCCTGCTGGTGACCATGGGCAAGTTATTTGACCTATCTAAAGCCTTTTTTTCTCAAATTGGAAATGAGAATGTTAAAAGCACCTATTTACCTAAAAGTGTTGTCAGATTAAGCAAGATAGTGTATGTGAAACCCCCAGAATGATACCAGGCAAATAACTGCTCAAGATCTAAGCTATTATTTAAAAAGAATCTAGAATGTACATTAAAGTTGGGGCCTGACTGACCTTGTGATATTAAAGTTTTAACTCATTAGGTTTTTTGATATTATTCAGATTTTTAAAGAAAAATTTCATAGAAAACACATTAAAATGTTTCACTTAAATTTTTCAATTAGGAATATCCAATTCATTTCTCAGTTATACTCTTCACATTTATTACATTTTTGAGACGTTTTCTACACAAATGAGGTATCAAACAAAAAGAAGGTAATTCTTACATTGTTAATGACAAATGAACCATCATTAATAAATTCCAAGCAAGTTAATCATGTCAATCTAGTAATGCATTTTCAACAACTATATTAGATAAATCTAACTGCAGCCAGATATTGAATTCTTTTATGTAATGAAAATAAGTCCTCGAATATTAATTACAAACGTGATTTTGAACATTTTGCTATTTTTAATAACTAATAACTTTTAAAAAACTTATTCCAAAACCGATTCATCTCATTAAAAAAATAAAAAAAACAGGCAAAGAGAACATATAAATAATTTGGAATCTTATATAACCAAGACAACCACTAGTAACACATTGATGCCAAATTTTCTAAATTTTTCTACAGTCACACCTTTACTTATAACAAAATATAGAATTTTGAAACTTTCTCTTTTCCACTCAATAATTTATTTATAATTATCTTTCTAAATTTACATCAATGATAATGTTATTTCTACATTATCAATCTTAATATCTGCATAATATTCTAGTATATAGTCATAATATTATTTAAACTATTCACTATACTTTTAGGTATTTAGAGTTTTTCCAATATTTACTATTATAAATCATCCTGTAATAAATACTCTTCTTATTATATATTCATGCTAACAGTGATACTACCCTTTTGCAGGGATGGGTGTGGTGTTTAGATTGAATTAAGGATCTTGCATATATGCTAGATACCTACTGTACCACTGAGCTACTACTCTGAATGTAAGTATACACACACACACACACACACACACACATACACACTTAAAAGTAATACTGTAATCATAGCACAATAGAAAATATAAATTGCCTTCCATTAGTAATCTTTTCTGTAAGGTTCTCCTCTAATAATTTTATTCTCTAAGGTTCTTTGAAAGAAGAGAATTACTATGGTTTTACCTCAGTGTCTCTGAATCTGTTTGGGGCTAAATCAAACCAGGAAAACAGATAACTTCATTAATAGGAATATACAATTAATTGGCATTCTCATTTCTCTGATAATCCCTAAAACATTTCCAATAGAGGTATATAGTTAAAAGATCCCTATAGAGAATAAACAGTCATTTAATGCTTAGCTTATCTTTTGCATAAACTTGGATTTCCTAACACAGAGTTCAAATAAGCAGATACCATTTATCCAACATCTTGAAAGGAAATGGAAAAACAAATGAGTATAGGGTGATCTTTGTTCTGAAGGAGCATACAGCTTGATGTGAAAGTCCAGAGATTTTTTAAAAAGATCAAATGAAAATAATGATAAGCATTTCCCATAATGCTGGATAATTCAAGTAGAAGTTTATAGATAAATCTTGCAAATGAAGAATTCAGACACCTCAAGAAAGTAGATAAAGAATAGGCAATTTTCTTTTCTTATTTAAATCTATGAACTATTAAAAGAGATTTTTAAAAGGCAAATCTGTAATGATGCTGAAAAGCAAATACTACCATAGCAGATAAGAAATTTTAAGGAAGATCTGAAAGATAGAACATGGGATTAGATTTAAGGAACAGAGTGGAAACAAAGAAAAGGGAAGTAAATACAGGAAATAATCATAACCCCAAACATAAAACCAATACAAAGTCAGGAGCAGTTTGAAGGTCTTCCATGTGTTTGAACCAAGTTAATACAAAGCAAGAATGTACAGAGAGGAGAAAGGGCAGAATTATTTCTCAGGTTAATGACTGAAGTAACATATGTAGCAGATGAGCTAGTTAACTCTGTCCATTTTACTGCATGTTTCAACCTATAAACGAAATTATATTTGTATTCATGTTAACAGTGAGGGTCAGACACGGTGGCGCATGCCTATAATCCCAGCTACTTCAGAGGCTGAGGCAGGAAAATCACCAGTTCAAGGTCAGCCTCAGCAAATCAGCAAGGCCTATCTCAAAATAAAATAAAAATGGGGATATAGCTCAGTGGTGGAGCACTTGCTTGGCATGTGGGAAGCCCTGGGTTCAATCCTGAATATTGCAAAAATTATTATTATTATTATTATTATTAACATAGTGAGCTTCTAAGGTAGGTAGCAGTACTGTGGAAAGTTACAAATCAAGGAGGCTACTAGCTCACAGAAAGCCTCTATTTCCAGAAGACAACTATCAGCTTGTCCCATATAGAAGCACGTTATTCGTTTTGCTCATCATCAGAGGCAATATATGGCAGAGTAAAGATCCACAAACAAGTCAACAGAGAATATCAAAAACAGAAATAAGAACATCATAAAAGTTTGAATAAAACAAAACTATGAAAGGAACGCAAGCTCAGCAAACCAAAACACAAAATTGCAAAAAGGAGACTATAAATTTGTGTAATTAATATCCTTAGAGAAAATAGCATTTGCATGAGCACATGCATACACATAGCTGATGTGAAAATAAAAAGCCAAGAAACTGGTAATTTAAATAGCTTTATCTGTCTCTTAGTAAAAGTTGATGCACATTAACATATTTAAAACTTTATGGAATTCTAAAGTAAATTGCTGCAATTTGTTTTCCAAAGCTGTGCAACATGTACACATTTATTTCATGATATTTTTTGAACAGTGTTTCATTGAACAGATAGGAAAATGACTAAAATGTGCAAAGAGCTATAGGAACACAAAAGAAAGCATGTAACCTAGTGGAGAATAAAGAGGAAAAATAATATCTGAAC